AATAACTTTTATCTATACGATTTTTAGTTAAATTTCTTTATTACATTTAAATGGTTAAGGTTGTGATAATTTTGTTCTTTTATTTGTTTATGAAGCAATCTATTTTTATAGTCAATATATGTTCTTACCCTTATAATGAGATGGTCTATAATCCTTACATCGGTTACATGAGCATGACGTTTAAATTCTTCACGTATTTTTTCTTTACAATCTTGGGCCTTCAAGGGAACATCATAAACCAATACTGCAAGGAAAAAGTATAAACATTAAAATGGGTAGGCAATGATCTAAGATCAAGTATCAGAATAGTAAACGACACTTTATACGTATAACATAAAAATAAATGTAGTAACAAGCCGATAGTTTGTATCATAATAATAATAATGTACTACAGGATAATATGTATTACAAATAGATGCATACATGATATTATGAAAGATACAATCTCAAGATCATCCCGTAGAGGTTAAGTGACAAAAAGCTTTATAGTTTATGATATATAACAATAACTATTGCTTACATGTTGACGGTACTTGACGAATCCATGCTTTGTACAGAATAAGTACTCTTCGTCGTGCGTCTTCTCTGTTAACGGATAAAAGAGGTTTCACTTGACGAAAAACGGAAGAAGCTTGGCCAGCCATTTTTGTGAACTCCTTCACTTAGGGCTATTTTCACCAACTCTGGTTAACCGATTAATTAATAAAATTGAACAATCGTATTGATCGTAGTTAGTTAATTGGCCAATGCGATTGGTCAATTCTGTTAAATAATTAATCAGTCGATTAAATTAACAAGAGTTGATGAAAATGGCCCTTAAGACGTAATTATGTTAAAGGTTACGATTGAAGATTGGATTGAAATTTGATCAATCAGAGCAAAATTCACTAAACTTGATGATTGCCTATCATTGGTTGCGTTCAGTGGAAAACACAATCAATGAGTAGTCCTTAGGTCTGTTCGTTTTCGTTGCACCGCTGAACTAGTGCAATAAGTTGAAGTGAGAAAACACATACTTGTCTCGCTTCAACTTATTGCACTAGTTCAGCAGTGCAGCAAAAACGAACAGACCTATTGATTATTAGTCTTTATTGTAAGACACGTAAATTTAAATCAATTACATTTTCGAATTACTCTACTGTTGTGCAGTCGTTGTTATTGTTCGTTAAATGTAACCATCAACTGGCAGTGAATATCAGAACGCAGCCTAAATAGTATGACTCAATAACAAAGTAGACGCAAGAATCGTGTAGGGAGTGAATTATCAGATTGAGAGAGAGAGAGAGAGAGAGAGAGACACTCTTTAATTTCCTTAATATCACATATACAGTTGAACAGTCAGTCGAATAAATTTTAGCCTTTTATTATTAACATCTAACGATTACGTTAAAAATTGTATTAGTTGTTATATTGAATACTTATAAGTACAAGAAATGCACAAATTGATCATGCAATCAGACTTGTAGATAGCCGTCATAACAGAGGTATTGCATATTGTTGTGTCAGAAAACCGGCGTGTGTCAAGTTTTTGGTCTTCCGGCGAAATTATTTATAATTGTAAGTATTATTGCTTTATTTTTAGCATTATTGGTATATTTATTTTAGTTTTAGTATTTATTTTTCTTAATATATTGGTTATTTGAGCAAAACATGGTCGCGATTTTATGTACCTTAAAATAACCTTAAAAATGAACTATATTTTATTGAAATAAACATTTAACTCCCTCTTGCATGATTATTATAATTTAACATTTTTTTCTAATATACAATATAATACACAAAATTAATATTAATATACTTCTCTAATTTATTCAAATTATAAATGAATTGTTCCAAAACAGGTATAAATTTGTAAGTTGATCCTGATAATATATAAGTTATGCTATATAATATAGTATCTTTGTCTCAATATATTATATTTTGTCATAATCTCTTATCCACGTAACATTATGGCTTATTTTTAGGAAAATGGTTGTGAGACAATATCAGGAAGAACTTAAATATTTAGAAAAAATAACCGAATGTTGTTGGAAGATAAAAAAAGGCTTTCAGCCTAATATGAAGGTAATCTCTTCTTTCAGATATAATATAGAATATAACCAGAAAAAGTGTCAAGAAAATATCATTATTTTCTTAAATTTATTCTATTAAATCAATCAATTATGTTTCAAGGTTGAGGGAGTATTTTATGTAAACAATACATTAGAGAAATTGATGTTTGAAGAGCTACGTAATGCGTGTCGACCAGGCGCAGTTGGAGGTTTCCTTCCTGGAATGAAGCAGATTGCTAATGTTGCTGCTCTACCTGGGATTGTATGGAGATCAGTTGGACTACCAGATGTACACTCTGGATATGGATTTGCTATTGGTAAAATCGTAAATATATTATTACTACAGTTGTGGCAATAACATATCATGATCAAATATTAACATCAAATGGAAATTATTGCATTTAGGTAATATGGCAGCATTCGACATGGATGATCCCAAGTCAATTGTGTCACCTGGTGGTGTAGGCTTTGATATAAACTGTGGCGTTCGTCTGCTACGAACTAATTTGTTTCAGGAAGATGTGTTACCAGTAAAGGTAATTTTTATATTATCTATTCGATGTTTGTGTGTGTAAAAGATAAAAACAAACCTTCGTAATGTTGCATATTTCTATAATTTATCATAAACAGGTATATGATGCATATGTGCGTATAACGATGTAAAAGTATTTTTTTCTAGGAGCAACTTGCTCAAAGTATGTTTGATCATATACCAGTCGGTGTTGGTTCTAAAGGAATTATCCCGATGAACGCGCGGGATTTGGAAGAAGCGTTAGAAATGGGAATGGATTGGTCCTTGCGGGAAGGTAAGAGGAAGGACGTCACGATAAAATCAAACGATACAATGATTCAAATAAATGTTAAATGCCTTCAGGTTACATTTGGGCCGAGGATAAGGAGCATTGCGAAGAATACGGTAGAATGCTTAACGCCGATCCATCGAAAGTATCAATGAGAGCTAAGAAACGTGGACTTCCTCAAGTACGATACAACACAGATCTCGAAAATTTTATTTGATCTAATATACATGATCATCATAATTATATATATATTTCACGTTATAGTTAGGTACGTTAGGGGCAGGGAATCATTACGCTGAGATTCAGGTGGTAGAGGAGATATACGACAAGTGGGCAGCGTGCAAAATGGGTATCGAAGAAAAAGGACAAATTTGCGTTATGATCCATTCGGGAAGCAGAGGATTTGGCCATCAAGTTGCTACAGGTTACTTCTTTCAATTCGTCCAGCTTGTTTTCTATCATCAAGTATATATATATATATTCCCGCTGATTTTGTGAAGCATTATTTTGTTATATTTAGGAACTTAAAATAACATTAATGAAATTATACTTGATATGACAAAATGATATTTCAGATGCACTCGTGCAGATGGAAAAAGCTATGAAGCGCGACAATATAGAGACTAACGATAGGCAGCTTGCATGCGCTCATATCAAATCCCAAGAAGGTCAAGATTACTTGAAATCGATGGCAGCCGCTGCTAATTTCGCATGGGTTAACAGGAGTTCTATGACATTCCTCAGCCGACAGGTACTAAAGTTAGACACTTAAATGCTAATCGACAGAGATACAAAGGAATATACGACATACTTGTCGATAGGCGTTTGCAAAACAATTCAACTCGTCTCCCGATGACCTGGATATGCATGTTATATATGACGTTTCCCATAATATTGCCAAAATAGAAGAGCACATAGTTGATGGGAAGCAGAAGACACTTTTAGTTCATCGAAAGGTAAGGTCTCGGCACGCTCAGTGCATTTTATTATAATTGATAGTGATAGAATGAACAGTTTGAACATAGCAGAACAATTACGTTATGTATAATGAATGAAAATGTTGCTTAAAGGGATCAACAAGAGCTTTCCCACCGCATCATCCTTTGATCCCCGTAGACTATCAGTTAACAGGCCAACCGGTTTTGATCGGTGGTACAATGGGGACTTGCAGTTATGTTCTCACTGGTACAGAACAGGGTATGAAAGAGACATTCGGATCAACGTGTCATGGTGCTGTAAGTGTATGGGGATTATGTTAACTTTTTAGGAGCTATTTACGTCAAATTCTATTTTCAGTTTACCAAATAGCTTTATATGAATAGTGTGTATCTATGTTATATGTGAAACTGAAACTGTAACGTGTGAAAGGTATGTTTCTTATACAGAAAATATATGTGTACAGGGTCGCGCCCTCTCAAGAGCAAAGTCGCGTAGAAATCTGGACTACAAGCAAGTTCTGGACAAATTGGAAGATTTAGGCATATCCATTCGAGTCGCTTCACCGAAACTAGTTATGGAAGAAGCACCAGAATCCTACAAAAATGTAACAGACGTCGTCAACACTTGCCACGCAGCTGGAATCTCCAAGAAATGTATCAAGTTACGGCCAATTGCGGTTATTAAGGGATAATCTTGGTCAAAAGACATTTTGGTCACTACTTGTACATTGTGACATGTTACGAGTACATTTTCTAAATGATATTTATTAAAATTTATACGCGAATGTAAAAATCGGCCAATTGTACGATATTTCTTTGATTGTTTACACCTGATGATATTACATTTTATATTAAATTGTACGAAAGATATTATCGCGATATGAAGATACATTAACATCACTTTCAGTTATGTAATACAATATAACTGCATAGTGTAAGTTTATTGTAAAATATATTTTCGTCATAATATTATTGCATTTTTCTGTACACGTTATGAAGTCAATTCAGAAAATAAACTTAAATTAATCAAATCGTGTTGCATTTGTATCCCATGAATGACACATATAATTTCATAAATAGAGAGAATCATCAAGGTTTTCTCGAAGGTTCTTTTTAAAGATTTTTTAAAAAATATTTCGTTAGCATTTTATTAGATAAAATGTACAATTACCTATGTTCGCAATAAGAAAGCTATATTAGACTAATTCGTTGACTTTACACAGGAATTAAATTCGCAGCATTACAACAATTACAATGCAGCATTATAACAAATCCTCCACTGACTAGAGAGAATAATACAGAAGAGACATATGGGTGAAAGGAGAACACAGTCCCATATTTTTTTGCTTGCAAGTAGATAATGGAAGCAAACCATCACCATAAATAGTATGTATGTAGCGTCGCGGTACACGTGGTATGATAGTGACGTATCGTCGTTTGAACCCTTGAAAGAAAAAAAAAAGAGAGAGAATACAAAGTGACAAAGTGACAGTCACTGGAGGAGTTGCGTACAGAAATACAAAACTGACCAATAGGACTTATGGTCTGAGATGCATTCCACAGAAATATTATATAAAATTTATGTTATTTATAAAATATTAATTATATATTCTAAGAAACTTATGATAGGTGATAGTCAGGAGAAGGTTCAGCTACCGATTCAGTAGTGAACAAGGGGTTTGGGAACTCTGGTGGGTGTGGCAGTGGTCCAGCAGTCTTTGGCTGACGTCGATACGCCATAAGCCAGCATGACACAGCGATAGCTACGGCAACCAGTGCCAAGAGCGCCGTAATTATCAGTGCTATGATAAAGCCGACCATAGAAACACAGATATCTTCCACTCTTTGCGCTGAAGGAGCTGAAACACATTATCAAGGGGTTATTAACCTCGCTCTAGCATCTCTCGCTCTTACAACTTTTCCACCAAACACTAACTCTAACACAGTAACGTTACATCTATAGTTTCTTTTCATAACAATTATATTGTTGAACGGTAAATTGTAATATTGATGTAACGTTACTTTTAGAATTGGTCTTTACTGAATATTTTACATTCCTTTTTCTGTCCGTAAATGCCATTCCTCTTAAAATTAATGTTCCAAGAAGTTTTTAGGAATTCCAATCATGATTACTTTCAACGTGTAACTTCCTGGATCATTTTTATAGCATTCTTCTAAGAATTCCTAAGGAATTGCAATTCAGGAAAGAAGAAAACTTTAAAAACACTTGAAAAATTCATCTATTGCTATTGATGCATCGTGCTAAACGTAAATTACAGATACTAAAGTTCCATATAATCGTGCGAGAAGCTCAGCTTGCAAAATAGAAAGTTAAATAATCTCGGAGACGATAATCGAAGACGACTTGTTGAGTCTTCACCTATAATTCGATATCTTCATAACGAATACGTTACGTTTTATCTTACCTTCAGCTGGATCTGCTGTGTACCTCTCCTCCCTCCTTTCCAGAGTGAATATTAGGTTCGACTGGATCGTTATTTCTTCACGAAGTTGGCCCTCAAAACCGTCGGATATGCTTAGAGATGTGTCGTTCACTTCGGAATCAACGTCCCTGCGGCGACGGCCGAAAGCGTTGTAGCCTCGACAGTTGACCTGTTGGGAGGAAAAGAGACATTTTCGTCGGTAAATACAAACTTTCGACTAGCGGGTGAGGCTGGTCTCGAGCGATTTCGCGAACGAGCACTCACAGGCTGACAGCGGCCGAAGCACACGCGGATGTTGCACTGGAATCTGATATTGTCGCTGCTGGGGAACTTGAACGCGTTGAAACTAGCCATTAACGATTGAGTCTCGGGATTTTGCTCCCACTCGCCGAATATCGTAGGATCCGTCGCACAGCCGTTCTCGTCCGTCACGATGTACTCGTTCTCCAGATTATCCTCCATCGTCTTAGCGACGCAATTCCGCGCGAACCCACCGTAAATGGCTGCAACATTGTCCAATGAGTTCTCGTATCTCATCAAGAGACAGCAACAGTAATGTTGAAATATGATAATAAAATCAAGTCAGCCAGGTTTGACTAATGGCAAAATCGGACGCTTACATGAAGGTTGAACTTCCACTTGAAGCATCAGATTGTCCCCAATTTCGGCCGAATTAATCTCATTTCCGTTCTGCGCAACTATCTTCATCAGACATACGGGCGGTGGACCGGTGTTGGCAATCGTTCCGGCTGTCGTCAGCATGGAGACGTTGAAGCCGAGGGTAACATTTTGTTCGCCGGTCTGATATATACATTTGATGTGATAAGCCTGTGCCTTGTACGTCATCAATTTCGGGTGCTTCTGTATGACCAGCACGAAGCTGGCTTGTCCCTGAAAGATGCAAACAAATTACGTGAGAGAGTGCCTGTCACCGTCGTGACGAGCAATTACGTCGTAATAATTATGATTATAATGTTAACTAATGTAGGATATAATTGGAGTATGTAACGTTCTACTAACATTCACATGTATCAGTCCGCAATTGCCGAATGCGACTTTGAAGGTTTCCGTCTTGTGCTCGGTTTCGGCCGGTATCGAGACAACCCGTCTGCACTGTTCGTCTTTGCTACGTCCTTTCACGTACAGAACCCCGTCGAACTCCTGGTGCAAGTGTATCACAACCTGCACCCCGTCCGACAAGCAGCTCACGTCCATCTCCGGTTTCGGGAAGTCCGTTCGGCCGTCCTTTCGGTCGTCTGAGAAGAATAGAAGATGGCACGTCAAAACGCTTCTTCAGACGGACGAACGCTTCGTGAATATTCGTAAAAAATCCATTTTGTACAAAAGAGCACATTATTCGATATATCTCGTATTCCTGACAATTATTTTCTCTTAATAAACAAAAAATTAACACTCATACAAATCAATATCATTATTTGCTGTTTTTCCGTGTTAGAGAATTCATTTTAGATATTATTGATTTCCCTGACAGAGAACAATGGTTTGCCGTGCGAAAAGCCAATTGATATGAAATATTAATCAACGTCAGTGTTTCGCGAGTGTTTGCAAGCTGATATAATCAAGAATGCGCGTCCTCGCTATCTCTTTACTCACAGCACTGCGTATAAGGATTGCCCAAGTAGCCGTTGACGCAGACACACACAGCTTGGTGCCTGGTGGCGTTGCAAAGCGCGTTCACGCCGCACACTTGCTTCTTGCAAGGATCCTGACACGTCCGGGTGGTCTTCTCGCAGTATTTGTCGTCGGCGCAGTCGTCATTACGTCTGCATTCTATCACGCCGACTGAAAAACGCGAGGCGCGGATTAGCGAGACACGATCGCGAAGAGGCAGCAGCCTCGTGAATCACGCGTATGGCAATCGCACAGCGCCGACTAACCGGTTCTGCAATATCCGTTGGCGTCGATCCTGTATCCGTGCTGCGTCGGGCAGACGCAACGGCCGTACTCGTCGATGCTGAAGCCCTTCTCCAGGTCGCACACGCAATAGCCGTCCTCGTTTATCACCATGTTGGACTGCCTGCGGCAAGGTATGCAATCGTCGTTCTCGTCCTTGCCGAATCCTGGCGGGCAGACGCAGTTGCCGTACTCGTCGCGAACCTGGCCCTTCTCGACCGGACACACACTCGCTGAAACAAAATGATTTATTTATATCACATTTTATCAGCGATTTACAACTGATATTTCGCAGTAAATGTTTATCGAATCCTCGATTTTTTTTTTTTAATTCTTTAGAGCTACCGCTTCGTATGTTTTTTTTTCTTTCTTTTGCTGATTACCTTTCTCACAACGGACAACTGCGTTTCCACGGTATCCTGGGAGACACTCGCAAATCATGGTTCGAACTGGGCTGGTGTCCAAGACCTTGCACACCGCGTTGACACCGCAGGGCTCGATCTTCGTGCAGGGATTGATGCATTGTCCGTTGAAGCACGCGGTCTGAGACGGGCATTCGTTGTCCGCTTTGCATTTTTCTTGAACTGAGTGGAAAAGTTTGAAATTAAATCGACACATTCGAGACGAGGGATATTCTTCGTCTACTTTCTATTTTTCCTTCATTGCGAGAAAAGGAGAAATTACAATCAAACCGATAGACGTGCGAGACGGACCTTTTCGTTGTCCTCTTTTCTTCCCGTATTTTTCCTTAACTGAGTGAAAACAAAAAATAAAAATTAAATAGATACATTCGAGCCGGATATTCTTTGTCAGTCTCGTATCTCCCTTTCACTGCGTGAGAAGAAGACGTTCTAGAGTTTGATTGGTATATTCGAATATATATGCTATATGCTTTGCATTTTCTTTCAATAATAAAGCGACAGTCGTTTTTAGCCAACTCGTTGCTGATCGACGATGCGGAAATAAGCTCTCACCCTTGGTACATCCGGTTCTAACGTCGCCGACGTAGCCGGGCGGGCACGCGCATTCCACGACGTGATTGTACACGTTGCACTCCATATCGCCGGTGCACGGGTTCACCGCGCACGGATTTTCGCAGCGGTTGTTAATGCACGCTTTATTCGTCGGGCAGTCCGAGTTGCTTCTGCATCCTAAGAGCACGCAGGAAACTCTCGGGTTGCCGCCGAAGCCGGGTGGACATTCGCAGATGGCCTTGTGATTTATACCGTGGCACACCGCGTTTCTGCCGCAGGAAGCCAAGGATGGCGAACACACCGGCACGCAGTTGCGTTGGACGCACGCGTGCGAGCCGCTACAGTCGCCGTCAGTCCTGCATCCTGCAACTGAACGTCGAAACGCAACGTCACATCTGAAGCGAAACTGTTGATACGCGTTGGATAAAAACTGTAACGTCACCTTAAGCTCGTATACCCGAAAATTTCTTTCTAAAGCCTGTGTTAAAGAGCCGTTATTGAAACCTGCCTCATGTGACACCGATTCAGAGTTTAATTTAAAATTAGATCGGAATTTTTTCGCGGTATCTTGTATATATAAAATTATTACAAAAGTTTGTAAGGTCACAGATAAATGGCTGCAAGCAGTGACTTAGTAATCGTTGTTCTTTAAATTGATTTTTGGGTTTTTAAATGTTGGCCGTACCGGGTCAGAATTGATGCTTCCTAATAGCATAAATAGCTTCGAAATGTAAAAAGATAAGTGTAAATCTACGAGACGAGATAAAATGAAAGCGTACGGGGGAGCGTTCGCGAATAAAACGGCCGAGATGAGTGCAAGCGCATCGAGCACGAGCGAAGGGGAACGCACCTTTCCTGCAGACGATATCCGGATTCCCGTCGTATCCCGGCGTGCACGAGCATATCGGCTTGTGATTGACGACGTTGCAGACAGCGTTGGGTCCGCAGGCGCAGGGGTCCCTGCAGACGGCGTTGATGCAGGACCGCTCAGGCGCGCAGTCGTCGTCCTTGGTGCACTCGATCTTGAGGATCGGCTTGGTCGCCCGGCAAGTACCGCTGCCGCTGCTGACGTAGCCGCTGGGACAGACGCACACCATGGTGCGTACCGGGTGCGTCGGCAGGACCCGGCACTCGGACGGCTCCGTGCACGGCTGTATGACCGGGCAAGGGTCCTGGCACTTGTCGCCGAGGCAGGCGAGCGAGTCTGGGCAGTCGCTGTCTTCTCTGCACTCCGGCCGCTCTTCCGGCCGGCAGTTGACGTAGGGATTGCCGGTGAAGTGGGGCGGGCAGCGACATATCGGCAGGTGGTTCAGAACCCTGCACTCTGCTCGAGCCGAGCAGGGGTTGTCGTGGACGCAGGGGTCGATACATTGCATGTTGATGCACGAGTGATCGCCCGGACAATCGCCGTTGCTGTAGCAGCCGATCACGCGGCAGCGGTCCAGGGGATTGCCGTGGTAGCCTTTGCGGCAGCGGCAGTCGGCCACGTGGTTGTTCGGGAAGCACTCGGCGTTAGTGCCGCACCGGTCCGCGATCAGGCACGGGTTCACGCAGTTGTTGTTCTCGCAGGCCTTGTCGATCGTGCACTGGCTGTGGTGCCGGCACTCGACCGAGTGGCACGCGATCTCCGGGTTGCCCTGGTAGCCTTGCTCGCACGAGCACACCGGTTTGTGCTTCCTCACGTAGCAGACGGCGTTGGCGCCGCAGTTGCACGGGTTGCGGCATTGCCGGTTGACGCAGGCGTCGCGGTCGCCGCAGTCGTCGTTGCTCGTGCACGTCCCGATCACCGTCAGTTGTACTGCGTGGATCGGAATAATGAATTACAATTTGATTCACTTCAAATCACCGATATAATATTCTCATAGTCGATCTTGCTTACTTGGCCTGCATACTCCGTCGACGTCGGTGATCCATCCCTCCGGACACGTGCAGATCATGGTCCTCACCGGCACCGTGTCGAGAACGTCGCAGCGGGCATTCTCCAGGCACGGCTTGATGACCGGGCAAGGATCGATGCATTTCTCTCGGATGCACACCAGTTTGTCCGAGCAGTCGATATCGACTCTGCATTCCGGCTGGTCGATCTCCTCCACGGGACGTCGTTCGCAGTAGGAGAACGGATTCCCCAGCGGGAGGTTCTCGGGACAGCGGCAGGAGGCTATGTGATCCTGGACGTAGCAGACCGCGTTCTGTGCGCATGGTGAGCTCTCGGCGCAGGGATTCACGCAGCGGCCATCGTTGCACGCCAGGTTACCGGGGCAATCGTGGTCCGTATTACACTCGACCCTCTCGCAGTGAACCTGAGGATTGCCGTAGTAACCTGGACCGCAACGGCAGGCTGACCGGTGATTTTTCCCGTAACATTCCGCGTTGATGGCGCATTTGTTGTCCAGGATGCAGGGATTGACGCACTGGCCGTTGTAACAGGTGGCCGCGTAATCGCACTCGCTGTCGGACTCGCAATCGACTGAAACGAACAATTACAATTGATCGTACACGGTAATTTGCGTAAAGTTTTCATAACGGCAGCACTATGGTCATCGCTAATGCGAATGCCTTTCGAAGATGTAAACTCCTTCCGGGTTCATCTAATTGTATGTGAAAATGTCTAAGAGGAAAAAAAAAACGTTGGAGGATGTTTCTCACAAATATTTAGAAATGTGTCGGATGGTTGCTTCATGTCTGAAATATTTGATTAGTTTTGCCAGCGGCTCGTTATAAAAGTGAGAAGAGGATCGGCACTCACGCTTGAAGCATCCCAGCTGAGGATTGCCGGAGTAGCCCGGCAGACATATGCAGGAAGGATAATGGTTGACGACGTTACACTTGGCGTTCGGTCCGCAATTGCACGGATTGATGCACGCGTTGTTGACGCACGCGTAGTTCCCTGCGCATTCGCTGTTCGACACGCACTCGGGCACGATCTCGGCTGCAACGGGAAGAACACCGCGACATGACGAATCGTTCCGCATCTTCGGGAAAGGATTTTGACGATTTCCGCCGTGTACAATCGGCGATAATTCTTACGTGGTATGCACTTGATCCTGGGATCGCCGTTGTAGCCGATCGGACACTTGCAGATCGGATCGTGATGGTCAACGTGGCACAAGGAGTTCCTACCGCAAGGATCGCCGGCGATGCACGGGTTTACGCAGAGCGAATTGACGCACTGCTTGTCGCGCGCGCACTCGCTGCTTGCGTAACACTCCGGCCGATGTCCTGGTAAGGTAGTGACCGGGACTGCGAAATTCGAAATTGCAGGTGAAACTCGGCGACGGGTACGGTTGCAGCTTGGAGGTAATCGAGAATTCGTGAGACGGGGATACATAATTGAGAAAAGCGATGTGGAGCTTGTCTTTGAATAAATAATTTCAAGGCTGTTTGATCCTGCATTTTGCACCTGCATTTACACAGTACGTACGGAGAAAAAGATTTCCTTGGATTTAATAAAATCTCTTTAATTGAAACGAAGAAACCGTTTTCTTTGTATATATGCGAAATAAATGCAAATTAAACTTACAATCGGCCCTTATCATCCTTCACCGTTGTATTGCGTAATTTAGCTCGTTCTTTGTAATTTGGCTTACCTCTTATGCATTCTATGTAAGCGTTGCCCGTGAAGTCCTGCGAGCAGAAGCAGATGCCGGTGTGAGACGTGGACTTGCACTGCGCGTTGAAGCCGCACTGAGTGGTCAAACAGGCGTCCACGCATGTTCCATCGAGACACTTCTCGTGGTTCGCGCAATCTTGATCCAGATGACATTGTGCATCGCCCAGCACTGCAATATACACGCGTGAATAATTAATAGAGAGAGATTCGCGCGACTGGTCGCGACTTCGCACGGCCGCCAGTTGACCTTCTGTTTTGTCCCGCTGTATTTCGCGGATTCGACATTTTTACGAAATCGACACACGTACCGATCGGCTTGCACTGTCCCTTCTCATCGGTGATCGTATTCGGTGGACACAAGCAGATCATGGTGCGAAGCGGCACGGTGTTCAACACTTTGCACTCTTGCTCGCTGGTGCACATACCGCCGGAGGCGCAAGGATCCTGACACTTGGTGTTGATGCAGGCAAGATTCAACGCGCATTCGCTGTCCTGCGTGCACTCGGGTACGATAGGAGCGCCTGAAAATTACGGAGAAGTCACTGTGATAATCTTCAAGATGTGTTATCACGCCAAAGCCCAATTCTTCAGCGATAATATCGATTTTCAATTAATTCTCGATGTTTTATGGCTTAAGGACTTTATCAAAGCTTAAGTCACCAAAGTTCGAATATTTGAACTTTTCAAGGAAGATTCCTCGTAGACAGAAAAGAGATTTCGACCAGATAAGACGTAAAATAATCAAGATGGAGAAATTTGCACGAGGAAAGTTTTGACGATAATTAGGAAGAATCCAATTTAAATAATCAACGTACCAACGCAGGTTATATATGGATTTCCGGTAGTGCCCGGAGGACACGTGCACTTCGGCTGATGGTCGCGCGCGACGCAGGTCGCCGTTTCGGCGCAAGCGTCGTCGTCACAGACCGGTCTGCAAACTCGGTTCAATCTGTCGCAGGCCTCGTGATCAGCACAGTCCTCGTTGTAGTGGCAAATCGCCGAAATGCACGCCACTCGCGGATCACCCTGAGTGCCTTGCGGACAAATGCACTGAGCTCGGTGAGACACCGCTCTGCATTCCGCGCCACGGCCGCACACGACGTCGCCGACGAGGCAGGGAGTGACGCAGTTGTCGTTTCGGCAGGTCTTGTCGTAAGGGCAATCGTTGTCTGTCTTACATTCCGCTGCGAGAGAAAATTGTGCGTGATGAGTATTCGCGTTGTTGAATGAAGTAAACGAGACTACATCGACCTCAACCTCTTTGCAGCACGAAGACGGAAAAAAAAAAAAAAAAGAATCGGAGAAGATACTTAAAAACGGAGTGATAGGATAAAATTTAAATAGAAATACAATTTATGTGAAATGGAAATAAAACTTACATGTCATTTTTAATTCCAAATTTAAAGAGACAATGTCGAAGAAAATTAAAAAGAAATGTTGCTTCTATTAAATGAAATTCGAAAATAGGAGAATCTTAAAGAATTTTTCGGAGAAAGCTGAGAGAAAAACTCACGTCTGAAGCATTGAAGCTGCGGATCGCCGGCCAAACCGCCTTGGCAGTGGCAGGATGGATGATGATTGATCGTGATGCACTCGGCGTTAAATCCGCAGCGATTGCTGGAGCACGGGTCTTGACAAAGTTGATTGATACACGCTTTGTCGAACGGACACTCGGTGTTTGTTCTGCATTCCGGCAGGACCACGTTTTCTGCGAATGAAAGAGAGCAAATAAGTAAAGAAAAGAAGAAAGAGGCTCGATGATTCAGATCGACGAGGAGCTGGAAGCGCCCGCGGCCTACCTTCGTAGCAATTTATGAACGGGTCTCCGGAGTATCCGCGAGGACACTGGCACGCGCGACGATGGTTCTCGATGTGGCACTCCGCGTTCGATGCGCACGGGTTGATGTTGCAGGGGTTGATGCATCGGCGGTTGAGGCAGGCCAAGTCCGGCGTACATTGCGAGTCGCTCTCGCAGATCGCGGCGATTTGTTTGTCCACTGCGGATGCACAGAGATATTTCCAATTCAATATTACCGATGAATAAATTCGCCACGAAACTGATCACACAAACGCGAGGCGACAAATTCATCTATATACCTTCCGCTTGAATCTTATGTTACTAGTTAGTCTACGGAAGATGAACGTTGGGATAATGAGGAGTGGAAATCCAATTGGATTTTTACCCGGCACGCAGAGAACGGTGGCGTCGCCGGCGTAGTTCGGCAGGCATTCGCAGATCATCGTTCTCATCGGCAAGGTATCCACGACGCTGCACCTGGCGCTAGCGATGCACGGCTTCGTTTCCGCGCACGGGTCTTTGCAAATACCGCTGAAACACGCCAGCTTGCTGGGACAGTCACCGTCGACTTGGCATTCGGCCTTCGGCTCCAGCGGTTCTGGAATCACAATGGACAGTTCGATTCTGCCGTTCTAACAGTCACACGAATAGTAACACTTTCAGAAATAGAATAGTCGTAATAATTCAGCAATAATGCTAATCACGTTTGTCATAGAAAAAAAATGTTCGATTATTACTGTGTACTCTATAAACGATGTTAATGAAACACTGTGATATTGAAACGGTAAATTCTTACCCAGGAGACACGAGGTGTAAGGATTGCCGGTATAGCCAGGCGGACACTTGCAGACTGACCGATGATTGACGACGGTGCACAAAGCCGGTGGCGGGCAGTTGCAAGGATTGACGCATTTCAAGTTGCGACAGGCCAGGAACGGAGCGCAGTCGTTGTCGCTGGTGCATTCCGGCCTCTCGCATACTTCGTACGGATTGCCCGTGTAGCCGTCTGGACAGTAGCATCGAGTCCTGTGGTATCCGTCGGCGGTGCACAATGCGTTGAGACCGCACTGTGTAACCAGGCAAATGTCAATGCACTCGTTGTTGATGCAGGACTGGATCAATGGGCACTCGTTATCGTTGCGACAACCAACTGGAGGGAAAATATTATTCGAATTATTAGTACAACATATCACACGTGCAGGCGGAAAAAGTACATCGATTAAATATATTTCCGATACGCACGCTGGTGGCAATATTGCTGAGGGTTCCCGGTGAATCCCTCGTTGCAGACGCATATGGCTCTGTGCATTGTCACGTGGCAGCGGCTGTTGAGGCCGCAGGAGTCCAAGGTGCACGGATCGACGCACTTTTGATTGAAGCAAGTCTTGTCGTTCGAGCACTCGGTATTCTGCGTGCACTCTGGGACTGGCTCTGCGAACAAGTAAATTAGATTAACATATCATTGCCCGTGCCAATATTAAATTAATATTACGCAAATATGTTGTCGCGGAATCAACGCTGCAATATTTGATTCGAAGCTCGACACACCGTCGTTTTAATTGTTACGTGAAATGCTTCGGGATAATTCAGGGAGAACTTCATCGGGAAAATAATAGACACGTGCAATCTCACCTGCGAGGGTTGGAATTGTACATTGCACTCGCGCGTTGCCGGTGAAACCGACCGGGCAGGAGCACACCGGCTTGTGATTGACGGTCTGGCAGAGAGAATTGATGCCGCACGCGCCGATGCAGGGATCCCGGCATTTTTGCGAGAAACATGCCTTGTCGCGTGGACAGTCGGTATTGATGACGCACTCGGGGTAGATGCAGACCGCGACGCCGTTCCTCACTCTGCACTCGCCGTTGTAATTGCAAGGCGAGGGGCTGCAGGGGTTGGTTTCTGTAACAGGAACGCGCGTTACGAAAACATCGGCGGCGTTTCTGAGGATTTATGTATTTATAAAATCAGATTGATACGCATCTCGCGTCAAGTTTCGTCTTCGCAGACTCGCACTTACCGATTTTCGTGTAACACTCCTCGAAGGGGTTACCGATCAAGGGAGACGGGCAGCTGCAGAGAGGACTGTGATTGATCGTCTTGCACACCGCCTTGCTGCCGCACACATTTTGAGAACACGGGTCCCTGCATTTGCTCTGTATGCAAGCCTTGTCGCCTGGACAGTCCGAGCTAAGCACGCATTCCGGATGGCAACCGGTGACACTCGTCGGGACACCTTGCAGTCCGGGTAGGCACTTGCAAACTGCAGTATTGCCGATTTTCTCGCAGACGGTGTTCGGGCCGCACGGTGAGGGATAGCATGGATCAGTTTCTTTAGTATCTGAGATAAAAATAATTTTAACGTAAATAATACCTGTCTCAAGTAAAAGGATAGAGAGAGGGAACTTCATGCAGATGAATTAAAATTGCAAAATCAAATTATTTATCTTTTGCTTGATCCTTTTAATTTATATTTCTACACTCTGCAAGATTCGAAATTATATGCATCAGTTGATGTAATAGAGATGCACAAATATAGGAAGAACTATATAAATGTATAAATATATGTATATACCTTTCGAATATTATTATAAATTAATTTAGTTCAATAGCGCCTCAGCTCTCGAATGGCCGATCTTGCTTTCATTGCATGAACAGTTAAATAATATTTCAATATATACGCAGTGCAAGTTTCTTATCGAATTCGTTTGATCTCACAATCTCCTTAAGTTATAAAATAACGGTATAAAATGTCAACAGCAAGATTACCTTCCACGGGGACTCGGCAAAGCGTGAAAGCGTCGCCGATCGTTGGCAGCGGGCACGAACAGATGGGGACGTGATTCGACACTGTGCAGATCGCACCAACGCCGCAAGTTCCCGGACAAGGATCTTGACACTTGGTTCTTATGCAGGCCTGCGACTGCGGGCAGTCGGTGTTGACGAGGCACTCCGGTTGACAGCCTTGGTACGGGTTGCCTCTGTAGTTCGGTATGCACTCGCAGATGGCCGTGTTGAATCTCTCATGGCAGTACGCGTTTATACCGCACGGCGAGGGGCTGCACGGTCTGGAGGGTGTCGGTGGTACTGGAGTTGCTGAAATAACAGCGGGAAAAACGTAATTAATTTCACTGTCGTGCGGATACGTTTTTAGCAATCTCGCATGCGACGTATATATTACAATATATGCATGTAAAACTAACGTTTCGGAAGATAGAGATATTTGCGTGTAAAAGTAGAAACAAGCGAACGTACATGTATATGTATCTTTTTCTTTTCACGCATGCATCGCACATGCCTCCTGTACACGGTGAAGGTGCAGCATCGTATATATCGTATATATATATATAATATATTTCGAGAAGAAGTGTTGCGTGTACTGAACTACGCCGAGTAGTCAAGTATTTAGTGTCTCGAGAATGCTGCGAGATCGAAGGTGAGCAATTTTGCGTAGGAGAAAGTTGACACGCGCGGGTGCGGTTTTCCAGAACATTCACATTCCATTATGTACAACGCGCGATATTTACAGACCCGAGAGAGAAATCGGGCGACCGGGATCGCCAGAGACACCGAAATTGCTGATTTTCGACAAGAAGGTCGTATCACGTCCGATCGGGTTGCGCCGGCAAAGATAACAACGGGGGTTTTCTTACATGGTATCGCAGAACAAACTGTGAACGGGTCTCCGGTGTATGATTCGGGACAGGTGCATCGGGCTTGGTGCAAAGTGACTTGGCACAGTGCATTGAGTCCGCACGATCCAACGCACGGGTCGTTACATTTCTGCTTAATGCATGCTCGATTGGCGGGACAGTCGCTGTTTACACGGCATTCGGGTCTACAATTGGGCGGAGATCCTATGAAGGTGGGTAAGCAGGAGCAGGAGGGTTTATTATCAGCGGATATCGCGCACTGCGAGTTCGGTCCACACGGTGAAGGGTAACACGGGTCCCTGGAGGGTTCTACGTCCGATGGTGCTGGCGATGAAAATAAAAAGAAAGACATTTGATTAATGGTTCCAACGGAGGTGGCGTCTCCAACGACACGAACGACGGGAGTGACGTCGAGAGGACATCCGAGATACGTCTCGGGTGAACTGCCAAAGGATGTCTTAAAGACATTTGAGAAAACAGGATGTCCTCTGGAAGTCTTCAAGACACCCTTTAGAAGCCCGTACCGTCCAGGATGCCGTCAAGGTTCTCAGACGTTCGTGTCAGCCGGAGGAGCGCTCTCTGGACGACTACTTACTTATGGGGAAGCAATTCACGAACGGGTCGCCGGAATGCTGATCGGGGCACCTGCAAATAGGATTGTGATTTCGCACGACGCACAGTGCGTTCGGGCCGCACGCGTTCTCACAGGGATTGCGGCATCTGGTGTTAACGCAGGCCTTGCTCTGCTCGCAGTCGGTGCTAACGAGACACTCGGGTCTGCAGCTCGGCGGGACCCCGAAGTAACCGGGTAGGCAAGAGCAAGAGGCCTGCTCGCTGAACTCGCGGCAGACACTGTTCGGTCCGCAGGGAGAGGGCTCGCAGGGTTTCACGCGTGCTATCGGGACGCAAGACAATGACAATTAGTCGCCTTCTCCTAACCGACAGGGGGGCTCTAAAAGATCCCGGGGAACTCACGTTTCACGCGCGTGCACAGGGTGAACGGATCGCCCTCGTAATTCTGAGCGCAACTGCAGGTGGCTATGTGGCCGACCACCGCGCACTCCGCGTTCTGTCCGCAGATTCCGACGCAGGGGTCCACGCACTTGTTGTTGGCGCAGGCCTTGTTGTACGGACAGTCGGAGTTCTGCACGCACTCCGGCCGGCATTCTCGGTACGGGTCGCCGCGGTACTCGGCTATGCACTTGCACACGCCGTTGCCTGTGCACTCGGCGTTCGGTCCGCATGGCGACGGGTTGCACGGGTCTGGCTTTGCCGGAGGGATCTCTGTGCGTGGGAAACGTGAGTGTGAGAAGGGTAATGCGTCGCTAGAGAGAGATTCGCCTATGTAAGAATCATATGTATTCGGCCGGTACTGGGGACTAGCCAAGTACCAATTCAGCACTGAAGTACGGATTTCACTTTCGATACCAATGCCTTAAATAAGAAAGTGGGAGATGTCACTGACGTGTGGAGCCTAAATAACTCAGTGGTGAAAGCGATTGTCTGGCAAGAAGACCCGAATTCGATTTCAGCCGAGTCTCACCTCGCACGAATTAAAAGTGGACATCAGCAGGCTAAAACAAGCACTCCGGTCGTAGTTCCTGACCTTTCTTTTCACAGTATAGTTGCGGTATCAACGATTATACAATAATAACAATCAATATTGGGAATCGGTACCCCCAGAATTGGGGCTCGATAATTCTTAGTACCTTCGCGATATTGGGAACTCGGCACAATTACTGTCTCCCGAGTCTCGGCCCATTACTCCCATCCCGGTATTCCGCCAGTATCAAATCGGTATTGGTATCTAGAGTACCGTTCAGTAAAAATCGGTACTGAGCCAGTATCTCGCCAGTAGTTTTCCTATTTGTGTTTCCTATTTGGGCCTGCGAATAATAAACAGATGAAGGTGGTCGTCTTACGCATGGGTGTCGGGTAACAATTGCTGAAGGGGTCGCCCGTGTATCCGTCGGGGCACGTACAAGCCGGGGTGTGGTTGATTACGGTACACAGGGCGTTAAAGCCGCAGGAGCCGGGGCAAGGATCTCTACATTTCTCTCGGATGCAGGCTTTGTCACGGGTGCAATCGGAATCGATCGAGCACTCGGCGCGGCAGTACGGCGGCGATCCGATGTAATTGGGCATGCATGTGCAAGACGGATAGCCTCCCCTGTCTTGGCACGTGGAGAACGGGCCACAGGGCGACGGGATGCAAGGGTTCGCCTGCTGTGGTGGTGCGGGCATCACTGGAATAAAATCAAATGACAATCTCCGTACGTGTAACACTTTCCCGGGAAAGCGATTATCTCTCTCTCTGTCTCTCTCGTTCTCTGATTTCCGGGGCACTTACAAGGCATGTCGAAACACTTGACGAAGGGGTCTCCGATCAGACCAGGTCCGCAGCTGCAGAACGGGCTGTGGGATAAGGCACTGCACTTGGCGTTGATGCCGCACACACCTGGGCACGGATCAACGCACTTCTGATTGACGCACGCGCGATTCATGGGGCATTCCGTGTTAAGGACGCACTCGGGCTTGCACCCGGGAGGAGATCCTTGGTAATTCGGCAGGCACGAACAGCTGGCTTTTCCGTTCAGGTTTATGCAGTTGCTATTCGGCCCGCAGGGAGATGGCCGGCAAGGATCGCCCATGGGCGCTGGAGCTGTGCGATACGAGATTAGGTGTGAGATCGCGCCTTCCCGAAGTGTTGTTCATCGTACACTTTCACCGACAGTTGTCGTTATGCAGAGAAGTATAAGATAATAAATCAATAATTATATACAGGAAAAAGAGCTTGATTGAATTTATCTGAAATGGACAAAGCAAATCCGCCTTGGTTGAATGTAACAGAATATCTGATCGTAAGAAGCAGACATTCTATTTCCTTCGGCCAGAATGCATTTGGTGTATTCTATTTCAGGTAAATTCAAGCAAACTGTTTGTCCCATGTATATCATAAAATAGCGTCGTTGGGCAACTGTTTCTATGATATTATTATTTATTTATTATCTTATATCCTCCTCGGTGCAACGACACGCCGTGCCGGCAAACGCATACGGAGTAGCACGCTCCTGTAAACGCGACAACGCGAGCGATTGTGGTGAGCTCCACTTACGGGTTTCTTGTATGGGCTCGCAATATCTGAACGGGTCCCCTGTGTATCTGGTCTGACAGCTGCACGCCGGTATGTGACCGATGACTTCGCAGATCGCGTTGACGCCGCACGTTCCTGGACAGGGGTCCTGACATCGGTTCCTTATGCATGCTCGATTGGACGTGCAGTCGGAATTGATCACGCACTCAGGTCTACAACCTTCGTAAGGATTCCCGTAGAAATCGGGCAGGCAGACGCAGGAGGCCGAGCCGGAGGCTTCCCGGCACATAGCGTTCGCGCCACACGGCGACGGTTGGCATGGGTTTAGCGGGACGAGTGGTGTCTCAACTAGAATAGACAGCCGTAAATCGTAATCCCCACCTCGCTGATCAAAGATCGGAAGGAGCTCGCTTTTCTGACCCGTCTTTGCTGACTGTCGGATCGCTCGTTCACTGAAAAACAAGTTCGCTCGGCCCTGACGATGGGCGACCAAGCGCGTTTCGGTCGAAGGCAGGACAATTTCTAGCTCCCGCGAGCAAAATGTGGTCCTCGTGACCGGCAATTCCGTATCCTTCAACATTCAAAACGCGTTTGGCCGACCATTGTCAGGTGGATCCAAAACCAAACTCATTTCCCCGCGTGCGTCGTTCACGAAGCGACTTGGGAACTTACTCGGCCGGGGGCTGCATTGGATGAAGGGGTCCCCGGTAAAGTCTCCGGCGCAAACGCACATGGGGGTGTGACTGACAGTCTTACACTCGGCATTCGTGCCGCACGATCCCGGACAGGGATCCCGGCACTTCTGATTGATGCAAGCCTGTTGACTGGGGCATTCGCTGTTGCTCACGCACTCCGGCTTACACCTAGGCGGGGCCCCGATAAACTGCGGCAAGCACGAGCAGGACGGAGCTCCGTTGAGGACTTGGCAGAGCGCGTTCGGGCCGCAAGGCGAAGGTCGGCAGGGGTCGGTCGGCGGTGGTGGCGGTTCTTTCGCTGCAATTCGTAAGGGAGCAATGCTAATCCCGGCGGATCGGGCACTTCAGGGCGAAATGAGAAATGTGTCGCGCGCAAAATTCTTACGTTGCGGGAAGCACCGGACGAACGGGTCGCCCGTGTACAAGGTCGGGCAGCTGCACACCGGGTTGTGATTGATGACCGCGCACTGCGCGGCTATTCCGCACGCGCCGAGGCACGGGTCGACGCACTTCTGGTTGCTGCAGGCGCGATTGCGAGCGCAGTCGGAGCTTATGAGGCATTCCGGCCGGCAGGACGGCGGGGCTCCTCTGAAGCCGGCGATGCACGCGCATACCGCCTGGCCGTTCGACACGCGACAATGGCTGTTCGGTCCGCAGGGGGACGGGTTGCACGGCTCGGAGGTGATCGTATCTGTTCAACAGTAATCAGGTCGTATCGGGTTCTGGTGTGCGTGGTGTTCGCACCTACGTATACGAACCTTGGACGATGAAGATGCAGGAAATGAACGCATTGCCGGTCATGTTTCGCGGACAGCTGCACATCGGCAGGTGATTGACGACGTTACATTCGGCGTTGAGGCCGCACGTGCCGGCGCACGGATCGCGGCACTTGTGCTGCATGCACGCCCGGTCGCGCGGGCAATCGGTGTTGATGACGCATTCCGGCCGACAGCCGACGAATGGGTCCCCGAAGTACTCGGGTACGCATGTGCACACTCCGTCGTTGCACCGAGTGTTCTGGCCGCATGGCGATGGGTTGCATCGGTCGGGGGGCGGTACTGAAATGCGGCCGGATTCAGACGATTGGGAATGTGTTGGTGTGACTTTGTCGCACGGTGGAACACTTCGAGGATATTATAATGAACGGGAAAGAGCCGCTCTCTCTGTGTAGATTCGTTCGAATTCGCGAAACAATGATTCGTCGTTATCGTTGGTAATCGTATGGTAACAATGTAGCGAAGAATATGGTTCTTACGGGGTGTCTGAGGCGCAGGGTTGCAACTGACGAAGGGATCGCCGGTGTATCCTTCGGGACAGACGCAGGAGGGCGTGTGATTTATCACCGTGCATTGCGCCAGGAGGCCGCACGATCCCGGACAAGGGTCCCTGCATTTCTCTCTCATGCAGGCTTGGTCAGCGGGACAGTCCGAATTAATTGAGCATTCGGGCCGGCAATTCGGAGGCACACCGATGTAATTCTGCATGCAGCTGCACGCTGGTGTGCTGCCGATGGCTCTGCACAGAGCGTTCGGTCCGCAAGGTGACGGCAAGCACGGGTCCTTCGGGTACTGATCTTCCGGTTCTGGTACTGTAGAGACACAGAAATAGCACTGGTATCCTACGTGTGAGAGTGAATACAATTAAGCCGGAAACTGAACTCTCGGAAATGAGCTGAGATATCGATCGAAAATCGAAATCGGGTCCTTGAATTTGATTAAGCTCAAGTGAAATCGATCCAAACCGCCCAAATTATTGTATTACTTCAGCAAGATGAATACGTTAAATTATTATATATTCGTGTACTTTTTAACATGTTCCCGATGTTAAAGTTACACCAAATTTGGACGGACCCCACGTTTGTACCGCGAAATTTTTTATCCTCCAAGTATGTCCGAAAATAACATCGGGAATAAAATGTTTAACACGCGTTCTACGTACTTTTAATCGTTCACGCATAAAATAATGAAAAGTAATGAAACAACAAACGGGTAACTTCTTTCCCTTATCTTTTGGCACTGTGATTTTATAAAGAAGAAAATGCGTCGGTTTCCGACTTGCACGAATCTCCGATGGATTTCGCTCCTGCAAAACGTACTTGGCGCTGGGAAGCAGTAGATGAAGGGATCGCCGGTGAAGCCGTTCGGGCAGTTGCAAATCGGGCTGTGGTGTATGACTTTGCATTGGGCGTCGCGGCCGCAAGTACCGATGCACGGGTCCACGCATTTCTGATTCACGCACGCCCGGCTCGATCCGCACTCCGAATTCACCAAGCACTCCGGTCTACAATTCGGCGGGGCTCCGATGAATTTGGGCAAGCAAGAGCAGATCGCTTGACCATTATTATTGGCGCATTGACTGTTCGGGCCGCAGGGGGATGGTTTGCAGGGCTCACGGTCGTCCTCGGGAACTACAATCACGCAACGGTGCAATGAAAGACCCGTCGGGTGATTTTCCGTCCCATTTCGCTCGCTCTTCACCCATCCTCTAGTACGCCGTGTTCACGCCTCTACTTACTCTCGAGAGCCTGATAAGCGCAGTTTATGTACGGATTGCCGGTGTAACCGGGGATGCACGTGCAAACGGGGACATTGTTGACGACTTGGCAATTGGTATTGGCGCCGCACGAGCCCGGGCACGGATTCTGACACTTCGACCCGATGCAGGCCAAGTGCGCGGGACAGTCTGAAGAGAGGGTGCATTCGGGGCGGCATCCTTCATAGGGGTTCCCGATGTATTCGGGCAAACATGTGCAGGAACCAACGCCGTTTTGTTCCCTGCACACGGCGTTCGTACCGCACGGGGACGGTTGGCAAGGCCGACTCGGTGCTGGTGGTTCGCCTAAAAGAACATAACTTTATCCCGTCTGTAACGTCGTCCTTGCGACTCTACCGATTCCTACACGCCCTCTCACAGGATCGGCATGACACAGCCGAGCTATACGATATAACGCGAGGATAATGATATTAATAAAGATGAACGAGACGACTCCTTGTTCGATCGAGAAAATTCACGAGATACGATAGAGGGGTCACGAACAAGCGGCACTTACTCTCCTTGATCGTGCACTGAACGAACGGATCGCCCGTGTAACCGGCGCGACACGAGCAAGTGGGCACGTGGTTAACGACATTACAGTCGGCCAGGGCGAAGCACGATCCGGGACACGGGTCTCTGCACTTGCGATTGATGCAAGCCTGTTGACTCGGGCACTCGCTGTTGCTGATGCATTCCGGCCTACAGTTCGGCGGTGTCCCGATGTATTCCGGCATGCACGAGCACGACGGCGAGTCGTTGACGACCTGGCACTGGGCGTTCGGGCCGCAAGGCGAAGGTTGGCACGGGTTTACTGGTTTCGGCACGTTCTCGGCTTCAAGAGGAAAACACAGGTCGCCACACTTCTCGGCACGTAATCGGAGAGATGTTGAAGGTCACGGGGAACTTACGTCTCGGGGTGCAGTGTAGGAACGGATCGCCGGTAAATGCGGGAGGACAGCTGCAGATCGGGTTGTGATTGAGCACTTGGCAACGAGCGGATATGCCGCACGTGCCCAAGCATGGATTGCCGCACTTCATGTTGATGCAGGCCTCATTCAGCGCGCAATCGGTGTTGACGATGCATTCGGGGCGACAGGCCGGGGGATTCCCTATGTAGCCGGGCACGCACGAGCACACCGCTTGGTTGTTAAAGCTCTGGCAGCGGCTGTTCGGGCCGCAGGGCGACGGACTGCACGGGTTCTCAACCACCGCGGGTTCTGCAAAGGGGTTTACGTGTTTTCACATGAGAGGATGACGAGGTTCCCTTGATCCGACGGGCATTTACCTTCAGCCGGATAACACACCGCGAACGCGTTGCCGGACATTCCGTCGGGGCAGGTACACATCGGGGTGTGATTGATGACTGTGCACTTGGCGTTCTGCCCGCAAGCTCCGGCGCATGGGTCGAAGCACTTGTTGCGGACACAGGCTTTGTCCAACGGGCAGTCCGGGTTCTGCACGCACTCGGGCCGACACGCGGAATACGGGTCGCCGTGATACTCGGGCAGGCAGGCGCAACTGCCGTCGCGGCACACCGCGTTGGCACCGCACGGGTTCGGGTTACAAGGATCTTGCGGCACCGGCGCAGCTGCAAGCGTCATTTAAACGACATTCAACATTTGTACGATCCGGAGACTAAAGAAGCTTGGATCTCCATCCGTCTCATCTTGGCGATCGATACATTAGGAGGTAAGGGTTGTCCGCGGGAATTGAAAAGCTTACGGGGAGGTTCCGGGTAGCAGCTGGCGAAGGCGTCTCCGGTATAACCCTTCGGGCAGAGGCAAACGGCCATGTGATTTACCACGAGGCATTGCGCTCCGATACCGCACGAGCCCGGGCACGGGTCTCTGCATTTCTGTCTGAGGCAAGCCCTGTTGCTGCCACAGTCGGAATCCACGGTGCACTCCGGCCGGCAGTTCGGCGGGCTGCCGATGTAATTCTCCATGCATGTGCAGGACGGCACGCCACCGTAGCCGCTGTCGCGGCAAGTGGCGAACGGGCCGCAAGGGGACGGCACGCACGGGTTCGTCGGCGTCGTAGGGATGGTGTCTTTGTCCACTTCTGCAAACGAACATTTCCCGTCTAGCGTTTCTCCACGTGTCCGGCGCGACACATCCCGCTCCGCCAGAATCCCGAACGTAAGAGACGAAAATAAAATTCGAACGAGTTGGCGAGATTTTACGAGAGACGCGTGCTGAGAATAATCGGTGTCTCGCGCGGTACTCACCTACACGGAAGCACGCTACGAAGGGATCGCCGGTGAAATCTTGGTTGCAACTGCAAATCGGACTGTGATTGATCACTTCGCATCTTGCGTTAATGCCGCAGATGCCCGGACACGGGTCCACGCATTTGCGGCTCTTGCACGCGCGATTTTGAAGGCAATCCGAGCTAACGGTGCACTCGGCACGACAGCTCGGCGGGGTGCCGATGAACGTGGGCAAGCACGAGCAGATCGCCTGACCGTTCAATTCGCGGCATTGGCTGTTAAGTCCACAGGGAGACGGGCTACATGGGTTGCTCTCTAGCTCTAAAAAAATGTTTTTAAACGGTCAAGTTATCCGTAACCCTTTCCCTCTCCCCTTGATCGTTCGTCAAGTTTACTCCAAGAAAATAGACGGCGTTGGAAATATTCCGCTGGAGGGCGGACTAATTGTGTAAAATTATGTCAAAGTTCTCCTGACATTCTGTGTCACTCACTCGAATCTTCCACGATATTACAAGAGATGAATGGGTTGCCGCTGTAGCCGGGCTGACACACGCACAACGGCGCGTGATTCACCACTTGACACACCGCGTTGTACCCGCAGAAGCCTGGACAAGGGTTCTGACATTTCGATCCGATGCATGCGCGATCCGCGGTGCAGTCGGAATTCATCGTGCATTCGGGTCGACAGCCTTCGTACGGGTTGCCTATGTAGTCCGGTTGACATGTGCACGAACCAGCGCCGTTCAGTTCGCGACACATCGCGTTGAAGCCGCAGGGCGACGGAATACAGGGAGTTGGTTTTACGGCACTCGGAACTTCGCCTATGAGAGGGAATGTCGGGTGTACTTTCCGCTCCCGAGGCAACACCGATAATGTTGCTCCGGTGAATCACTGATGTATCGGGTACATGATATGCACCTCCCATCACAGATATGAGCAAACTGAGGCAAGTGACGATCAATTTAATAACCAAAGAATCAATTTTACTAAATAAAGAAGAGAAATGAAAATATGAAAATTGATTAAATTATCGGATTATTAAATTAAATTATTAATTACTAAATATTAAAGATTACTTTTAAATAGAAGTCGGAAATTAAAGAAATACGTATTACTTTAATTGAACATCAATTTCGACACATTTTCAAGAGGACGTCGACGCTAAAAATTAAAAATCAACGACGAACAATCGCCTGTATAAAAATGTTTGCAGGGACAATTGAATCGAAACTCGTCGCAGAATCTGTGATTGAAAGTACATCCCGCGATTCTGGGTACCCTTGATCGAGCACTGGATTATCGCACTTACTTCTCTTGGGGTTACATTGTACGAACGGATCGCCCTCGTATCCGGTAATGCACACGCACATGGACGTGTGACTGACCACCCGACAGTCCGAGTTAAGTCCGCAGGATCCCGGACAAGGATCGCGACACTTCTGATTGATGCACGCCAAGTTCGTGGAGCACTCGCTGTTACTAACGCATTCCGGCCTGCAGTTCGGCGGTTCGCCGATGAACTCTGCCAGGCAACTGCACGAGGGCGCGTCGTTCACGACCTGACACCGACTGTTGAGCCCACACGGAGATGGGACGCAGGGGTTAACGGGTGTTGGAGGTTGCTCCGCTGTTAGAAAAATGATTAATGCAACGCTCGTCCGGCGAGACGAAATATTGTCCGACACGATTGGCGAGTGTCCTATGCTCGTTTCACGAGCTACTCACGTCTTGGGATGCACTGTGTGAAGGGGTCGCCGGTCAACTCGGCAGGGCAAGAACAGATCGGGTTGTGATTGACTACGGTGCACTGAGCTCTGATACCGCACGTTCCGGGACACGGGTCAATGCATTTCTGATTATTGCAGGCCATGTTCGCGGGACAGTCGGAACTGATAATACACTCGGCTCGGCAATTGGGCGGTGAGTCCAGGTATCCGGGTATACACGAGCAGACAGCCTGCTCGTTTATCTTTCGGCACTGGCTATTTGGTCCACATGGTGTCGGGTTGCATGGATCTTTCGGTATCGGTGCTGCGTAAATGTTAAAAAAGAAAAAAAATACGATTACAGGCTTTATAATCGATTGTTCCGGTTGTGGTGTGCTGAAATTATCCGTTCAAGCAAATACCTTCTATCGGGGAACACGCTACGAACGCGTTGCCCGACATTCCTGGTGGGCAAGTGCAGACCGGAATGTGATTCACGACGGAACACAGAGCGTTATAGCCGCAGATCCCGTCGCAAGGATCGCGACACCTGTTCTTAATGCAAGCTCTGTCCCTCGGGCAATCCGGATTCAAGACGCATTCTGGACGACAGCCCAAATACGGGTCTCCCTGATACTCGGGAAGGCAGGTGCACACACCATTGAGACACTGCGTGTTTGCACCGCAGTTTAAGCACGGATCCGTTGGTTTGAGCGTCGTATCTAGGGGACGAATTCGAGGACTCAATTCTGGATAAATCCTCGAGCTGGGTATTTCCCAAGTGGCAAATGCCAACGTGATAAATTTCCATCGTATCTTACTAAATAGTTAAATGAGGAGTCGGCAAATCGTTACTCGCGATCCACTGTTGATCGCGATCGATCATGTTCACCGACTGATTGTCTTACCTTCCTCTGGGATTGGTTTACATATCACGAACGGATCTCCGGTGAAGCCGTTCGGACAGGAACACGAGGGTAAGTGGCTAATGACGTTACAAGTTGCTCCTACTCCGCATACTCCGTCGCAAGGATACTGGCACTTTCTCTGTATGCACGCTTGATTACTCGGGCATTCCGAGTTAATCAAACATTCGGGCCTGCAATTAGGCGGTGTTCCCATGTACGTCGGCAGACAAGCGCAGGACGCTTGGCTATTAATGTCACGGCACTCCGAATAGGGTCCGCATGGTGAGGGCGCGCAAGGATTCACGAGTGGACGATCTTTATCCGGGGCTACGGACATACAAACGAATTCGTTAAATTGCTCATTCGTCGTCAAGAGGCATTTTGACCCGACTTTGTAATCGAGGCAACGAATGAATCGGGAGCATTTGATGTGTCTATTAAATAACACGAATCATAGATGTTAATCATGGAAAGAAAGATTAGCTGCGGTAACTAAATTAGTTGCAACATATGAGCATCTTGCAGTTTTAATTGCTACAGCAGCAAACTCTTTTGCGACAGCAACGAAGTTTGTTACTGCGGCAATGAAAATTGCCTACGCCGCTAAAGTTTTAGATGTTCACATGTTACAGCTAATATAGCTACCAAAGCTAATCCTTTTTTCCGTGATTGTAATTATAATAAGTATCCAATCAAAGGAAAAGGAAATCAATCAGGGAAACCTTCCCTGAAATAATATTCTCACGATTTGAAGAAATACACTCGGAGAAATGATTTAATGATATCAACTAAATCTCATTAGTTAGTTAGCTAGTGCGAAATTTACTGTCTAAATTCAAACAGCTAACAAAGCTTAGCTGCAGTAGCAACGACATTAGCTATCCGTGTTTCCCCACCCGGAAGGCTGCGGGATGAGAATCCGGCCTGAAGTAATGCTTACACATTTTCAAGCCGGACTCCACTACCCCCAGAGGTAAAAAGAAAAAAAAAAAACTATCTCAATTTCAAAGACATTTTAGCTGCCACAAGATTTTAGCTCCTGTGGCAAATTCTCTCTCTGAGTGTACACCCTCGCTGAGAAATCAATCAATCACCCTGCTTACAATTCGTGACGGTACGAGATTTTTCAATGACTCTTACGTGGCATTTCGAAACAGGCAACGAACGGATCACCCGTGTAGCCCAGTCGGCACGAGCATATGGCGTTATGATGGATCGTCTCGCATCTCGTGTTGGAACCGCACAATCCGGGACAAGGGTCGCTACATTTGTTCTTGATGCACGCCAAATTAAAAGCGCACTCGGCGCTGACCGTGCACTCGGGACGGCAGTTCGGCGGGCTTCCCAGGAAGGTGGGCAGGCAAGTGCAGACGCTCGTGTTGTCCACGACGCGGCACTTGCTGTTGGGTCCACAGGGTGACGGCTCGCAGGGACGACTAACGACGTCGTCTCCTTCTAAAAGGCGCATTTCGCGGTTAATCGAGCGAGCTCACAAGCAGAGGGAGGCGAGGCAGGCGAATCGAATTTCAAATCTCCACGATGTCGTACCTATCTCTATCGGGCTGCAGTAGAGGAAGGCGTTGCCGGTGTATCTGGGGTAACAGTTGCAGACGGGCAAGTGGTTGACCACTTGGCACAACGCGTTGCGCCCGCACGATCCCGGACACGGGTCCCTGCACTTCATATTGATGCAGGCCAGACTGGCGGGACAATCCGTATTCAACACGCACTCCGGCCGACAGCCTTCGTACGGGTTGCCGGTGTAATTCGGCAGGCACGTGCACGAACCGGCCCCGTTGAACTCTTTGCACACCGCATTCGAGCCGCAGGGAGAAGGAGTGCAAGGATCAACGGGCGCGGGCGGCAGTGGCGTGGCTGAAAAGTGACGTCGATGAACGCGGCGTTCTCGAGTCGTGTGTGAAAAACGAATGACACTGAAATCGACACAATTCTGGCGCGACACAATTCTGCGTAAGCCTGTTTTACATGATTTTTAACGCCAGTGTCATTATCGTTACATTGTCGGTGCACAAGCTTGCCTGCCACATGTTATGCCTGAGCAACGGCGACGTAATGATACTGACACAGGATGTCTTCCAATAAGGGTTACAGTCGAGACACAGTGACTCAGCGTCGACACAAGCACTTTCCTACAACGACACAACACATCAGTCGACACAGCTGCAGAGCAGAGTAGAATATTTGTGTCAGTATCATGGCTGCCACATTTGCAGTAATTTTTAAATTATTTTCATATTTCTAGCATATTCAATATATTGAAAAATTGTTTTCTCCTTTTGTGGCGATTCTTAATGTTTATTCTTTTTATATATGATGTTTATTGTAATAAAACATACACTCAGATCTTTTAAGTTCTGCAGTTGGCTAGCAGAGGCGTTATTAATCGCTCCTAAAGCGACTGGAACCTGCTTTATTCAAAAACCTAATATGTAATATTTGCCAACATCTAGTACATTATCGCCAACTAGCGATTTTCTAGCCTGTTTCGAAAATCAAAGCGTTCCATGTAGCCATGCACTGTGTTCAATCGTGTGACACAAGCGTGTCAATTGTGTGTCTCTCCGTAATCCCTTGTTGGAAAACGCCTGTCGTTAAAAGTTACAAGGCCTGCTGGCTCGTTTCGACGCGGGGAAGCGAGGAAGCATCGAGAATTCGTCGAGATTAGCCGGGTTTCGGCCTCCGAGCGAGGTACTTACGCTCCCTGAAAACGCATTGGGTGAACGGGTCGCCGGTGTAACCGGTCACGCAGGTGCACATCGGGGTGTGACTGACCACGTGACAATTGGCGTTCGCGCCGCAAGAACCGGCGCACGGGTCTTGGCATTTCTGATTGATACAGGCCAGGTGATTGGCGCACTCGCTGTTGCTGACGCATCCCGCTCTGCAATTGGGCGGACTGCCGATGAAACCGGGCAGACACGAGCACAGAGATATGCCGTCGAACGGCCGGCACTTCGAGTTGGGACCACAGGCGGACGGTTCGCACGGCGTGGAAGGAGCTGGTGTGGGCGCTGAAAGGTTCGAAGGTGGATACGCAGGTCGAAACAACGGGGAGAATAGCTTCCGGACGATATCACGATCGTACTGGCGACGAGATTGACGAGCACTGAGAGAGGGAAGCGAATGGTACTTACGTGGCTCATTGATACACCTAACGAAGGGGTCGCCCGTTTGGGAGGGAGGACAAATGCAGATGGGATTATGATTCACCACGTGGCACAACGCGCCGATCCCGCAACTTCCCAGGCAAGGGTTCGCGCACTTCTGGTTGTTGCACGCCTGGTCCTGCGAGCAGTCCGTACTGACTATGCATTCGGGCCTGCAAGTTGGGGGACTACCTAGGTAGCCTCTAATGCATGAGCAGACCGCCTGGCTGTTTACTACGCGGCATTCGCTGTTAGGTCCGCAGGGCGAGAGGCCGCAGGGATTAGCGGGTGGCATGTCTGACACACAAAACATTACGGGTGTTCAATTATCGGCCAGCGCGGAAGTGGAGCGCGCGTGTGGTGGTTTCACGTAGTTTCACAGCGTGGGATTCGAGTTACGGCCTCGTAGTGCGACCGATGGCCTCTCGAGCGTGTGTACCTTGTATAGGTGTGCATTGGCTGAAGGCATTGCCGGTCATGTTCCCGGGACAACTGCACATGGGAACGTGGCCGATCACGGTGCACAGGGCGTTAACGGCGCAGGCTCCCGGGCAAGGGTCCACGCACTTGTTTCGCACGCACGCCCGGTCGCGGGGGCAATCGGTATTTAGAACGCATTCCGGCCGGCAACCTACGTAGGGGTCTCCTCGGAACTCCGGCAGACAGGTACAGATACCGTCGAAGCATTCCGCGTTGGGGCCGCAGGGCGACGGGACACAGGCGTCTTCGACCGGTGACGGGATCGCTGGAAAATACAATCGGTATACTCACGTGGAGGCATCGGGCCCGACGGGGGCTCGGGTTCTCGAGGCGGAAGGCCGCTCCGGTGGATCATGCTTACGTGTCGCTGGTATCAACTCGCAAAGGGTAAATGTGTTGCCGGTGTAACCTTCGGGGCATCTGCACGTGGGGATGTGGTTAATCACCGAGCACTGGGCATTGGTGCCGCAGGAGCCCGGACAGGGGTCCACGCACTTCATGTTGACGCAGGCCTTGTCGCTCGGGCACTCCGAGTGTATGGTGCACTCGGGTCTGCAATTGGGCGGCCGGCCCGTGTAATTCTCCAGGCAGGTGCAGGCGGGCGAGCCGCCGATGTTTCTACATTGGGCGAAACTACCGCACGGGGACGGCACACATGGGTCTCTCTCTATCGGGCCCGGTGGAACCACAGCTGAAAGACGTTCGGAGTTACGATCGGAGTGACTATCGCGACGTGCCGGGGCGCGAGGGAAGCCCGGCGAGAGCACGCGCGTCAATCGGCTCGTCGACGGGATCTTACGTGGAATCGATGTGCATATGGTGAACGGGTCTCCGCTGTAACCGGGCATGCAACTGCAGATGGGGCTGTGATTAACCACCGCGCAATTGCTATTGAGTCCGCACGGGCTGGGGCAAGGGTTCACGCATTTGTAGTCCTTGCACGCTAACTGGGAGGGACACTCCGAGCTAGCGACGCACTCGGGTCTACACGCCGGCGGAGTCCCGACGTAAGCTGGCAGGCACGAGCAGACCGCCTGTCCAGACACCTCTTTGCACTTGCTGTTGGGTCCGCAAGGTGACGGGGCGCATACATTCTCGTCTTCGACTATTTCTGGGAAAGATTCGTTAGTGTAACATGGGAATAGCGAGTACATCCAGCTGTAGTGAATTTCAAGAGATCACTCATCGCGCGAACAGCGTTCTTTAATATTTCTTTTACGAAGTTATCGGCGCTAATAGTGAAAATCAGTATTTTAATTATCAAAATGCTAATTCCTAATTAATTCATCGTTAAATGCGCCAATTATTCAATTATCATATACCAATGCTCCCAAAATCTAATCTGTCCGTTAAAATTACAAGCTCGAACATAAGTGAGAATACTAAAGAACGAGTGGAGATGAATTAAATCATTAAAACGGTATCTTAAGGAAATCTCGAGAAACTGATTTCCGTCTCATCTAAATGTTCATATCTGTCTGGTGTGTGCAAAGGAGCGCTAAAAGGAAGAAAAAGAAACGTAACAAAGTAATCTATCCGAGCGCAATGAACGCCCGTTAAACAAGACCGGGGTCTGGGACACTTACGACTTATGAAACAATTGCTGAAGGGATCTCCGGTATATCCGGGGAGGCAGGTGCACATCGGTTGATGATTGACTACCGAGCACTCGGCGTTCCGGCCGCACACGCCCGCGCAGGGATTAACGCATTTGTTTCTCACGCACATCAAATTGGACGGGCAGTCGGGATTAATGACGCATTCGGGCCGACACGCTAAGTACGGATTGCCAATGTAGTTGGAAGTGCATTGACAAACCGCGACACCGTCTCGCTCCTTACATATCGCGTTCGCGCCGCACTCGAAGATCGCGCAGGGCGAGGGTTCCGGCTCCACTTTGTTCGCTAAAACAGTGCAAATGCCGGGGTTAAGCGCGAAGATTCGTGTGTGTGTGTGCGTGTTGTGTGTATGAGTCACGTGGTTTCTCTTACGTATGACGGAGCAGCGCGTGTACGGGTCACCGGTGAGACCGTAGGAACAGACGCAATGGGGCACATGCTGCACCACGGCGCACTCCGCACTCTCCCCGCATAGACCTGGGCAGGGGTCCTTGCACTTTTGCCGCACGCAACTCTGGTGGCCGGGGCACTCGGGGTTGGAGATACATTCGGGCCGGCAATTCGGGGGCGAGCCTTTGTACTCGGGCAGGCACGAGCAGGACGGCAATTCGTTAATGACCTGGCATGTGGCGTACGGACCGCAGGGTGAAGGCTGGCAGGGATTTACGGGCTCTACCGGTACTGGAGGGGAGAACAGGAGGCGTTTCTTTAGTGGCCGAGGGACTTCGCGTCTACTCGCAATACTTGGATTCGAGAAGTGGTCTCACTTATACTTAGCACGTCGCATCTGATGAAGGGGTCGCCGGTGTAGCGCTCGGGGCACGAGCACACGGGGTTGTGGTTGACGACCACACATCTCGCCTGGATGCCGCACGTGCCGGGGCAAGGGTCTTTGCACTTCTGATTGGCGCAGGCCTCGTTCTGCCGGCAGTCGGAGCTCAGGGTGCACTCGGGTCGGCAAAGGGGCGGCGAGCCGAGGAAGTCGGGCGCACAGGTGCACACGGCGTGTCCGTTCGACTCCCGACATATGCTGTTGGGGCCGCAGGGGTTCGGGTTGCACGGTCTCGTTTCCGGCGGAACTATACCACGACAGAGCGACACGCACGTCTCAGCAATGCATTCTCCGATAAGTAAGTTGTGTGAGTTTCCCGGCGTTGGCTGGGACTCTCGTTGCTACCGTACCTTTCATCGCGTCGCAAGCGATGAACGCGTTGCCGACAGTGCCGCGAGGGCAGCTGCACATCGGCGTGTGATTGATGACGTTGCAGAGGCTGTTGCGTCCGCAAGTGCCCGGGCAAGGGTCTACGCATTTGTTTCGTATGCACGCCTTGTCAGCCGAGCAGTCCGTGCTGAGCACGCATTCCGGCCGGCAACCGGCGTACGGGTCGCCGAAGTACTCGGGGATGCAAGTGCAAAGGCCGTTGTTGCACCGGGCGTTCGGTCCGCAGGGTGACTTACTGCACGGGTCGATTACCGGCGCCTCGTCTTCTACGTGATTACAATTGCAAGCTTTCAGTTCGCGTCTCCTGACGAGGCGACTAATAAATCGGAAGGATCTCCGGACTTACTGATTGGCACAGGCTGGCAACCGATGAACGGATCGCCAGTGTAACCCTCTATGCACCTGCAGGTCGGGATGTGGTTGTGAACGGTGCAGTCGGCGTACAGGCCGCAAGAACCCGGACAGGGATCCTGACACTTCTCGCGAATGCAAGCCTGATTGCTCGGGCAGTCCGCGGGGATGACGCACTCGGGCCGGCAGTTCGGCGGTGTACCGATGTAATTAAGCATACAGGAGCACGATGGGTAACCGTTGATATTGCGGCATTGCGAATTCGGCCCGCAAGGAGAGGGGAAGCAGGGGTCCGAAGGCGGACTCGGCAACGGTACGGCTAAAATTTCAAGCAGAGTCACGTTGTGTTTCGCGACGCGACTATCATAGATGTTCTCCAAGTGGAAACTGACTGTGATGATCATTTAAATGAAAAAAACTACCGTTCTGCATAACGATAATTGAAATAAACGCAACAATTAAGTTAATAGATAAAGAAAATAAATCAATAAAATGAATAAACAAATTTTAATATCTCAACACGACGGGTTATATGTGTCATCATCGCTTCACAGAAAGAAGGAAGCAATCTCTCGATCAATGAGACAGCTGTGCTTCGAAGTGCAAACTTAACGAACCGACAAAAGATACAAATGCTAATCATCAGGAAAACTTGCTGGCCGCTTACACGGAATGAATGAGCAGCGGGTGAATGGGTCGCCGCTGAATCCGGGTTTGCACATGCATATCGGGCTGTGATTCACGACCCTGCAGGTCGTTCCTTGACCGCACGAGTTGGGACAGGGGTCGACGCACTTGTTGTTCTCGCATGCGCGATTCGTCGCGCAATCCGTGCTAACTGTGCACTCCGGCCTGCAGCCGGGCGGTGCGCCTACGTAAGTTGGAAGGCACGAGCAAACGGCTTGGCCGTTGCTCTCTCTGCATTGGCTGTACGGTCCGCAGGGAGACGGCCGGCATGGATTCACGTTATCCGACACAACCGCTGTAAGAAAGTCAATGTCAGCCGCATGATCGAGCCGGAGAGACGCGAGACGGTTAAGGGATCTCTTACGGGCTTCGACGATAAGATTGCAGAATATAAATGGATTTCCCGTGTATCGCTCGAAGCAAGTGCAAGTTGGCGCGTGATTGATCACGTAGCACTGCGCGTTCTGGCCGCAGGTCCCCGGACACGGGTCTTTGCACTTCAGACCGATGCAGGCTTGATTAGACGGACAGTCCGAATTAAGCGTGCACTCGGGTCTGCAGCCCTCGTAAGGGTTACCGATGTAATCGAGCGAGCATGTGCAGGAACCCGCGTTTTGTTGGACTCTGCACACCGCGTTCGCACCGCACGGAGATGGCGTGCACGGTGTCGGTACGCTAGGCTGTATGTCGACTAAAATTAAAGCACAATTATGATCAAAGAACGTACCCCCATTGACGAATTTTCATTCCCGGACTTGCAATGATTAAGAAGAGAAACGAATTTCATTCGAATCGACTCTGAAAAATTCTGAACAATTTTTTTTAACAATTTCCAGAAAATAAGCACTTTCTAGCTTAATAAAGCGAATGTGTGGAATTTTTGTAAAAATTGCGTTTAAATAATTCGACGATTTCCTTACATTGTTGGGGAGAGCACTGTGTAAACGGATCGCCAGTGTAACCGGTTGTACACGCGCACATCGGTGTGTGGCTGACAACGTTGCAAACGGCATTGAGTCCGCACGCGCCGACGCACGGATCGCGACATTTCTGGTTGACGCAGGCCATCTTGTTCGAACATTCGCCGTTGCTGACGCATTCGTGCCGGCAGTTCGGTGGTGATCCGATAAATTCTTGCGAGCACGAGCAAGAGGGTTGGTCATTGACCACTTGACACTGCGAGTTCGGTCCGCACGGCGATGGCTGACAGGGATCGACCACGGGTATCGGAGTTTCAGCTTCAAAAGGTAACGACGGTCAATCAAGCGACGTTGGCATCACACAGTGAGATTTGTTAGGAAAAAAGTTCCGAAATGGCGAGTTCAAATGAATAACAGAAATTTCGAACCAAGAGACATGTTCGAGAGAGCCTTACGAAGTGGGAAGCAATTGATGAAGGGATCCCCGGTCATTCCACCGCGGCACGAGCAAACGGGGTTGTGATTGATAACGTTGCAGATTGCGTTGCGTCCGCAACTTCCGGGGCAAGGATCCCGACACTTCTGGTTGGTGCACGCCTCGCTTTTTGGACAATCCGAGCTAATCACGCATTCGGGCCTGCAAGTCGGCGGTGCTCCGACAAAGCCGCTTATGCAGCTACACACAGCCTGCATGTTATTCTGTCGGCACTGACTGTTGGGACCACACGGGGACGGATTGCACGGGTCTCGAATGGTGGGTGCTGCAACACGCGATCGGGAGAGAGTCTCAGCGACGAATTAAGAAGATCCGTGAGAATGTAAATACTCGATACTCGCGAGTCTCCAGCGGGATCGCGGGGACGAACGATTCCGACGAGTTAATCGCTAGATTCGGAATTCCGGAAAAATACCTGGAACGGGAGAGCATAGGACGAAAGCGTTTCCGTCCATTCCCGCGGGGCAACTGCACATGGGCACGTGATTGTACACATCGCACACGGCGTTCTGCCCGCAAATGCCCGGGCAAGGGTCCACGCATTTATTGCGCACGCATGCCCGCGTATTCGCGCAGTCGTTGTTCAACACACACTCCGGCCGACAGCCGCTGTAAGGGTCGCCGAAATACTCCGCTAAGCAAGTGCAGACTCCTCTGTCGCACCGCGCGTTGGATCCGCAAGGTGAAGGTGTGCAGGGGTCCTTTTCGACGGGGCTGACGGCTATAATATCGTCGTGTGAGTAAAACAGGAAGAAATCAGGGAGCAATAACGGAGACACGAACGAACCGATAGAGGGTCTTACTTGGACTTAGGGTACAACTGGTGAAAGGATCGCCGGTGTGGCCGGGCAGGCACGAGCAAATCGGCACGTGATTAACGACACTACATTCGGCCAGGATGCCGCACGAGCCCGGACAAGGATCCCTGCATTTTTGTTGCATGCAGGCCATGTTAGCCGGACACTCTGTATTGATGGTGCATTCCGGCTTGCAATTCGGCGGACTGCCTCTGTACTCCGGTAAACAAGAGCACGATGGTACTCCTCCTATGTCGCGACACTCGGAGAATGCGCCACAGGGCGACGGTATGCACGGGTCTCTCGCGACGTCGTTTACCACGGGCGGGCTCACTGTAATTGCGACAATGAATTGTTCGGGAACTACTGTGGAATCAATCGAGCACAGTACACTCGAATCTCGCTATAACGTTCCTTCGACCGGCGATTCGGGCAAGAGGAATTTCGTTCCCGCCGCGCCAAGAATCGGGGTTTGATAAGTCGCGAGCATCGTGAATTGATTCATCAATTAATTAATATTTATAATTAATTAATCAATCTTCGTACTTATTTGTCGATTCGAGGGAAACTTCATAGCGCGTTAATCGTGATACACAGTTTCGAAGTGACGAGCGATGTTTTCGAAACGAACACTATATCGAGATTTGAGTTTACTCGTTCGATCGAGTACATTCACGAGAGCCGGACGATATATTCGTCGTCGTAAAAAGGAAAGATATAATCAACATTAGGCAAGAGTGAAAGTTCATACCAGGTGTTTGGAAGCAAACGGTAAATGGATCGCCGGTAAAGCCGTTCCTGCAGGAGCAGATCGGACTGTGTTTGACGACCTTGCAATGTGAGTTTCTGCCGCAGGAGCCGGGACAGGGGTCTTGGCATTTTTGATTCACGCAAGCGAGCATGAGCGAACAATCCGAGCTGGTTACGCATTCAGGGCGGCATGCGGGTGGACTACCGATGTACGTCGGTAGACAAGAACAAACCGCCTGATCGTTATTAACGCGGCACTGACTGTTGGGCCCGCAAGGCGACGGATTGCAGACATCCTTCGGAGTCTCGACTACAATAATTGATAAATCGTTCAAACTTCAAAAAAAAGAAAAAACGCGACACTCGATGGGTCAAAGTACGGACAAAAGATTTGGAACTAAATGCAATGAACAAAAGTGAATGGAATTGAAATAAAATAAGCAAATAACTAGACGATTCTGCGAAGATTCAAAGAGTCTAGAGATCAAAGAAAATTATTAGAATCAAGTTTAGTTGGTTGAATCGGTATTTAATATTTAAATAGCTCAATTATATTGAATTGTTCTCTATAATATCAATTTTGATAACGTTAGTAAATTTGATATTACAGGAAGTTAACTAAATGTGATTGAAGTAATTAAATATTAAATACTCTTCGGATTTTGTATGTTTGGTGATGTTTGAGAAAAACGTATCGTACCAATATCGCGAATCACAATGCAGTACTGGAAGGGATTGCCGCTGTAGCCGGGAATACACGTGCAGGTGGGTCGATGGTTAATGACTTGACACTCAGCGAACTGTCCGCAAGTACCGGGGCACGGGTCCTGACACTTGGATTGTATGCAAGCAAGGGTGGATATGCAATCCGTGTCGATAACGCATTCCGGCCGGCATCCTTCGTAAGGATTGCCGACGTAATCGGGCAGACAAGAGCAAGATCCGGCGCCGTACTGCTCCTTGCAGACGGCGTTAAAGCCGCAAGGCGATGGTTTGCAGGGCGATATCGCGATCGGCGTGGCTGGAAAGTATACATGAGTAGGCTAGAAAAAAACACTTTAAGAAATGAGCGATTTTTTTCAACGATAATTTCCTTAGAGAGAAAATCTAGAAGTGAGTAAAAATCCGAGCTCGGTTCGTCGAACGAGGGTTTTCCTGGTTTCTCACGTCGCACGCCGAGGGTAAAACTAATCGATGCTTACGTGGCTTGATTGTGCACTGCGTGAATGGATCGCCGGTGAAGTCGTTGGGACAAACGCACATGGGTGTGTGGCTCACCACGCGACACTCGGCATTGGCGCCGCACGAGCCTTCGCACGGGTCCCTGCATTTCTGATTTATACACGCCAAATGCGAGGGACACTCGCTGTTGCTGACACATTCCGGCTTACAATTCGGTGGTATGCCCAGGAACTCGGGTAGGCAAGAGCACGAGGGGCTGTCGCCTACAACCCGACATTCGGCGTTCGGTCCGCACGGGGACGGCACACAGGGGTTTGTCTGTACCACGGGCTCGGGTGCTGATGGAAAGAGAGAGAGACGGTTGTCGAAATCAGCTCGAAACCAAATTTTGAACTTTGCGTTACGATTATTCAGACCGAAAGGCGCGAATCGATGCAGATACATCGAGCAGTTTTAGAATACGAGTAAAATATTCGCGGCAAAAATTGTATTAAACCTTCATGAGATACTTCGTGCTTGTTAAATGGATAAGAACTGAAGTCAGTTTTGCTCTTGGTGCGTCGTGCGTCTCTGGTGTGCGTACAACTCGCGAAACTTTGAAACGGACCGCGAAAAAGTCTCGAGTACTCAGTTTTTTAATGACAAAATGATAAAACGTCCTTTTAGTCTATCCAGTAAACATCAATTATAGGCTGCACTATATCGATGTTATAATTTTTCACTCGCTATAACTGTCACATGCAGTACACGCTGGGCTTACAATGTTGAGTAAGAAATGATAACATTGACGTAATGCTACTGTTAGTAGGCATTTACTGGATATCCGCGTCGAAGTCGTAAGATCAGCACTATGCCCGAAGGCCGAGGATTCTTACGTCGTGGAATGCATCGAATGAACGGATCTCCGTCGAGTTCGGCCGGGCAGCTACAGATCGGGTTATGATTGATCACTTGACACGTGGCTCGAATTCCGCATGCACCGAGACAGGGGTTTATGCACTTTTGATTGCTGCAAGCTTCGGTCAGCGGACACTCGGAGCTGACGGTGCATTCCGGCCGGCAGGTCGGCGGTACGCCGAGGAATCCGGCGACACACGAGCACACCGGTTGCCCGTTGTTCTCTCGACAGACACTGTTGGGTCCGCAGGGCGAGGGTGAGCAAGGGTTCCCCTTCACGGAATCTACATGTGACACGTGATCTTACAGTCCTCAGAGATAAAAATGGAGAGTGGGCGCAGAGATCGGGCGTACTATCAATAACGATAATAATAGAACAACGATGATTCGATCGATGGATAATTTCAATCATTGCTGTTCGCGATTAGGAACCTTTGCGACGACAACGCCGTCGGAGGAAGTTGGATCTACGATTATCATTATCGATATGACGCGACTCCAAAGCATCTTCGCGGCTTGAAAAATTACAGGCTGCTTCGGCCGCATCGGTCGACTGTACCTTCAACAATGGAACACTGGACGAAGGCATTGCCGGCCATCCCGGCGGGACAGGTACATATAGGTATGTGATTGTACACGGAGCACAATGCGTTGCGACCACACGTGCCCGGGCAGGGATCCGCGCATTTGTTACGGATGCACGCGCGATCATGAGCGCAGTCGGTGTTCATGACGCACTCGGGACGACAACCCACGTAAGGATCACCGTGGTATTCGGGCAGGCACACGCAAACGCCATTATTGCATCGCGCATTCGATCCGCAAGGATTCAAGTCGCAGGGATCGATAATCGTGGGCGCCGCTGGAAAAGAACGCAGGTTGGAGCATGTGGGAGTGAACGCAGCGACAGCCCGCGGAACGGAGTCTCACGAAGTGTAACGCGCGATTTTTCACATTAAAAACGTCTCGGTGGAATAAAGAATTGCGAATGGAAAGACTCTCAATTGGACCACAAAAAGCAATTTTCTTAGTATTTTTCGTTGCCTGGAACATATAAGAGCGAGATGGAAAGCTCGGCTGTAGGAACAGAAAGATTCTCGCAGGACGTTTCTACCCAGTCAATTCTCCTCAGTTGTCTCAGACGAATTTTAATACAAGCGAATGATTTCGAGGTCGTGGTAACGATATCATCTCTCGTCCAATCTGGTCTGATTCATCGTTCCGAGTCGCGCGAACTGAGATTTTTTCCCCCGTCGTGCGTTACAACCCGCGAGACTCCTCCTTCGAGGCGAATCGTCCGCGACTTCGTTTCCAAGGAGTCTCTTACTTGCGATCGGCTTGGGATAGCAATTACTGAAAGGATCGCCGGTATACCCCTCGGGACAGGTGCACACGGGCACGTGATTGTACACGGTGCACAAGGAAGTGATGCTGCAGGAGCCTAAACAGGGATCTCTGCACTTTTCGTTGCTGCAGGCGAGATTCATCGAGCAATCGGAATTCACACGGCACTCAGGGCGGCAATTCGGCGGCGAGCCTCTGTAGATCGGCAAGCAGGAGCAGGAGGCCGTGCCACCGATATTCCTGCATTCCGCGTACATGCCGCACGGAGACGGTATGCACGGGTCTTGGGGTACTACAGGATAATCTGGTAACGGCGCTTCTGAAATCCGATAATGAAGATGCGGCTCGTGACGTCCCGGAGAGATGTTCGTCTTAGTAAAGTATGAATTAATTGTGATCACGTGAGACTGTGAGAAGCCGATGCGAGAAGCTGATGAGGTGAGTTATCGTACGCACGTGAATCATATACACGCGTACGGTATACGATAAGATCATGAAGATTGCTATGATGATGATATTCCGACGTGTCACGTCGAATTGAGCCGGACGACGTTCCCGATTACGTCGCTTCATCCCGACGATTTCGAGATTCAATGATCGGGTTAAGTGCGTTGCGAAAGATTAATGGCGGGTGTGAGTCGTGGCGGCGTGAACAGATGATAAAGCCGGTGAAGAAGATAAAGTGGTTCTTACGTGGCGCTGGGAAACACCTCGTAAAGGGATCCCCGGTAAAGCCGAGGTTGCAGATGCAGATGGGGCTGTGATTGATCACTTTGCACTGGGTGTTTATTCCGCACGCGTCCGGGCAGGGCGATGCGCATTTCTGATTGATGCATGCGAGTTCCAGGGAGCACTGACTGTTCACCACGCATTCGGCCCGGCAGTTGGGGGGGCTGCTGATAAAGTTCGGGAGACAGGTGCAAACGGCGTGGCCGTTCACATCCCGGCACTTACTATTCGGTCCGCATGGGGATGGGCTGCAGGGGTTTGCCTCCGGGAGGGCTGCGTGGAGAAAAGTATCGTTACGCGCGGGCTCTTCCCCGTGGACTACGCGCCGTACAGCGCGAACTCGCCATTTTATTTCTTTCAGTCTGCGCGAATTTAAGTCGGCATATCTTGCTGACGAATATTGTCGAAGAAATTACAAATAAAGGAAAAATGTATTAATGTTTACTGCAATTGATTTCGTTTTAAGCTGCATAGGAAACAAGTGCTAGAGATTCGAGTAAATAATTACTGCGATACTCTTTAGTAAATTTTTCACTTAATTGAGGAAATTTTACTTGGGCTGAAGTAAATATTTTACTTAGGATCAAGTAAATATTACTTAGTGAAAATTTACCAAGGATTATTGGAGTGATTATTTATTTGAATTTAGCACTTTTTCCGTGTATAAACTTGGGTAAAAGTGACGATTCAGTTTAATAATACCGTAGAAAAAAAATCGTAAATAAAGGAAAGATGTGCTAAGCACAATCGATATCTATTTATACCGCAAATTTCGGCAAAGTGACGATTCAATTCGATAAATTGGTCAATTTGATACATTATTCGAACTTTCTTCTCGAACGTGATCATTAATTGGCGAGGCTTACGGGTTTCGACTATCGGGGAACAGTAGGTGAAGGGGTTGCCCGTATAGCCAGGAATACAAGTGCACATTGGCAGATGATTAACCGCCTGACATTGGGCGTTCACTCCGCATGTGCCTGGGCAAGGGTCTCTGCATTTCAGGGCAACGCACGACATTCTCGTGTAACAGTCGGAATTTTGCGTGCACTCGGGTCTGCATTCCGTATAGGGATCGCCTAAGTAGTCCGGCGGACAGGTGCACGAGCCGACGCCGTTGTTTTCGCGACAGATCGCGTTCAGGCCGCATGGAGAAGGCTCGCATGGTTTTCTAATATCTGGGAGCGTATCTGATATGGAAAGAGAAATCTCACTTAAACTTAATCGTGCAGCGTCGTATCTGAAAGCTGGAATATCCTCCAATTATCATCTATTCTCTCTCTCTCTCTCTCTCTCTGTCTTTCTCAAAATTCACACTCTCGCATCACTCTTTCGATCAATTCGACTTCTTGACAAGCGACAATAAGCCTTTTATGGTAGTGCGCACCTAATTGCTTTGCGTGATTTTTAGTGCCGGTTATCAACGTGTACGGATATCTCGTGTGCCCGAGAGTTTTAGCCTTAGCGGGTGAGACGTATTCTATCAGCGACGAATCTCGGGATCACGTTACTTTCAAGCGTGTTCGATCTTCGATCGAGACAATTAATCGAGTTAATTACGACGTACGGCGGGTGACGGCGAATTCTTTTTGTTAGGGTCTCTGGCGACTAATGGCGACGTATTATTATTGATTCAGGGACGGGATTGCTGATTCTATTTTGGGATCTGCGTTTCAGCGGGCGGTGTGCTACTCGTCTCGGGTTTGTTACTTCACGAATCAGGGAGTTGCGTTCTTTGCGGCAGTAATGATAGCATTTGAACCGCTTTAATCCGAGAACGGCATGTGCGCAGCATGATTATTGGGTGGTCCGCAGCGTATGCCAAGGTCATAGTGCTCTTACATGTGAGTGGGTCGACGGATATAATTGGGGGGAGGAGGACGACGGATTCGCTTCGCCTGGTCTGTGCGTGCAGCAAACGTTTGGGCAGCAATTAATCGTAGGGATTCTCAGGAGTTCTGTCGTTTAGTTACGCAGTGTCGATTAGGGATGAGTGCAGCCAAGAGCCTATCGACTTATAATAGGCCCCGCCACCAGCTTTCTGTGTGATTATCTACCGTTATCTCTAATCTCCTACGTCGGGTTGGGTCAGGTCAGGGTTCGGGTCAGGTCAGGTAACGCTCAGGCATGGGGATGAGTGCGTGCCGCTTCGTCTTTTCTGTTAATCATAGGGACTCGGGAAACGTGTACGTTATGTCGGTGGTTATTGACTTTTAATCGGGCGTGAGTGCAATTAAGAGCCTAATGATTATAGGCCCCACCACCTCACACGTGACACATCAATCACGTCATCCTCTCCGTTAGGTTCTCATTCGCGACCGTGCTTCGTCGCACGCGCATTCTCTCAATTAATCCTCTTCAACACGATTCGTGTTAGGACGCGCTTTTACAATTACGTAGAGGTACGTGTCTAATAATAATAATAATACAGGACGGTGGTACTAATTGAACAGTCTTGAGGCTTCGATATTCAGCGGGTGCCGTGCTCGTAAATTATCATTTTTGAGGAAATGTAAGAGCCCGAGCGATATGTAACACGGTATAAATAATCTCAGTGAATTGCGAGATCTTGAAAGTCGGCAACGGAATATCGAGTGACGTACAACAGCCACGTTGACAGGGTACTTCTGAATTACCATCCTGTATGATTATCATTGATCACACCCCGTACGGGGATACCGAAGCACTTACCTGCCGCGCCGTGCATGCATACGGCGGTAGTTTCGCAGGGAAAGGATTGTAGCGCGCTGAGAAAAGTCGCCCTTCGGCGTGTACTCACCCTCGGGTACTCGTTCGCAAGCGCTGAATGGATTTCCGGTGTATCCGGCGACGCACGCACAAACCGCTTGGTGATTCACTACCGAGCATTGAGCATTCAGACCGCACAGACCGACACACGGATCGCGACACTTTTGTTGCATACACGCCAACTGCGGCGGACACTCCGGATTGATCGTGCACTCCGGCCTGCAGTTCGGCGGCAGGCCGATGTAATTCTCGATGCACGAACACGCGGGACTGTCGCCCCTCACTTGGCACTCCGCGTTCGGCCCGCAAGGCGACGGTTGGCACGGATTCGTCGGCACCGGTGGCGTTTCTGTAAACGGGTAATCAATGAGCGAACAATTTTACATTTAACTAAAAGGTAAAATCAGGTTGAGATAAAAGAAAATTCAGATTTGGCTACTTGATAGGGGAATAGCTTCCTATGTTTCATGTAAACCGATAATAAAAAGCCGTAAATAATAAAATGCTTTTCTCTGTTAATTCGCATTGCTCTTTTATCTTTAAATTTCATACAATGTGTAAGTGATAAATTTAATATATATACATATATAACGGAAGGAAAATAAAATTTAAACGCCTTACTTGGTTGCGGATAGCAAATAGTGAAGGGATCGCCGGTGTAAGATACGACGCAGCTGCATATCGGATTGTGATTGACCACTTGGCAGTTCGTATTCTGTCCGCAGGTGCCTGGGCACGGATCTTGACATTTGTTGTTCAAACAAGCTTGTGTCAACGGACAATCCGCGCTAACGACGCATTCCGGCTTGCAGGCGGGTGGACTGCCGATTAAACCAGGTTGGCAAGAACAGACAGCGTGATCGTTCACTACTTTGCAGACGCTGTTTGGTCCACAGGGCGAAGGTGTGCAAGGCTGCTTGATGGTATCTGCAGAGAAAATGCGATCGACAATTAATTTAATGCTAAGCAATATTGATCGCTAATAAAAATTCTATTTAATAATTAGACTTCTTTGATGTTCAATCACAAATTCAGTGAAAAAATGTTTGATTGCTGTTACTAGTCGAATCAATAAAGCATCGGGAAGTAATAAAGAATACAGATAAAAATAATATTTAGGAACTCACCGTCCGGTATGAACGGTCGGCAGAGAAGGAACGGATTTCCGGTGTAACCAGGTGGACAGCTGCACATTGGCACGTGATTGACCACGTCGCAACGCGCATCACGACCGCACGTGCCTGGACAAGGATCCACGCAGTGCTGATTAATGCACGTTTTAACGCGGGGACAGTCCGAATTCATCGTACACTCCGGCCGACAGTACGAATACGGGTCCCCGAAGTAATTAGGAAGACAGGTGCAGACGCCCTCGTTGCACTCCGCGTTAGGTCCGCATGGTGACGGGTTGCAGAGATCTTCGGGAACCTTTGGTTGTTCTGCAACAATGATTTCACGCGTTAATATATGAATAAAGAATTTTTCCACCACTTTCAGATAAATCATGATTTAAAATCTACTAATTTTACCGTAATAGCTCACTAACAGTCACTTGATTTTTTATATTTTCTTTCTTCAATTATCTAATATAATATTCATTAATGAATATTTTCTATAAGATATGTATTTATCTTTAATATAACATATAAAATTATTTTCCCTCTGTCGAATAAAAATACGAACCTATGATTAATGTGCACAACGTGAAAGGATCGCCAGAGTATCCAGATTGACACAAGCAGACTGGTATGTGATTCTGAACGCGGCAGTCGGCATTCTGGCCGCAGGAGCCGACGCAGGGATCCCGACACTTCTCTGAGATACAGGCCTGATCCGACGGACAATCCGTGTTGACCACACATTCCGCGCGGCAATTCGGTGGTAGGCCTATGTAATTCTTCAGGCAGGTGCACGCGGCTTGGTCGTTGACGACTTTGCACTCCGCGTAAAGTCCGCACGGGCTGGGGAAGCAAGGATCTACCGGTGGCATCGGCACAACTGCAAAGTGGGATCGAATAACTCAATAATTCGAGAACGTTAAGATAATCGCGCGAATTTGTCTCTGCGCTTTGCAATTATCCTTATTTAAAATTTTCCTTTTCTTCTGCCTCTTCTTCTTTTAATTCTTATTTTCGCTAGTTCTAATTTCTAGCGTTTCAATTGGACAATTACCTGGTTCAGGGAAACATCTGGAGAAGGGATCGCCCGTCTTTCCCTGCGGACAGCTGCAGAGAGGGTTGTGATTGATGACGCGACAATTGGCCTCGACGCCGCAAGTGCCCGGGCACGGGTCCGTGCATTTGTACTTGTAGCACGCCCTGTTCTGCGGACACTCCGAGTTTACGACGCATTCCGGCTTGCAGTTCGGCGGGGTGCCCGTGAAGGACTCCTGGCACGTGCACACGGCTTGGTTGTTCACCGCGCGACACAAGCTGTTCGGTCCGCAGGGTGTGGGCGAGCATGGATCGCGGACGGTCGGCTCGGTTTCCGTTTCCCGTTGGAGGGTGCAAATCGTGAATGGATCTCCGACGTATCCGGGCTCGCAGGTGCACGTGGGGATGTGATTGATGACCGAGCACTGAGCGCTAACGCCGCACACGCCCGGGCAGGGGTCCTTGCACTTGTTGCGTACACAAGCTTTGTTTGTTGGACAGTCCGCGCTGAGAACGCATTCAGGCTGGCAGCCCTCGTAAGGATTGCCGTGGTAATCGTCGATGCAGATGCAAGCGCCCGCGTTGTCCCGTTGCTGGCAAATCGCATTGGCTCCGCATGGTGACGGCTCGCAGGGATTGATCGTCTCCTCTGCAAAGAGAAACGCTCACTCAGACAAGATGGAAGAAGTCAAATAGATAGATTAATAGATAAATAAGAGTATTTATTAATATTCTAGGATCGACCAGCTGGAAACATTATAATTCTTAGAAAAAAATAAAATATAACGTGAAAAAAATATATAATCGTGGAAATAAAAATAAATAAACGTTGAAATATAAAGAAAAAGATATAAAATAGAATACAAATAAAATGATTATATATAATTAAGTGTAACAGAGAGATAGAGATAGGGAAAGAAATAAAAATAGTGGAAGAATTTGGTGTGGGAAAATACAAAAATTTAAAGATCAATTTAAGAAGTGATAATTGGGGCAAAGAAGTTAAGCACATACCTTCCAACACGCATTGCACAAACGGATTGCCGGTAAAGCCGATCTTACAGGAACAGGTTACCGCATGGTTCACTACCTTGCACTCGGCGTTATCGCCGCAAGATCCTGGACAGGGATCCTTGCATTTCATATTTATGCAGGATTTTTCGTGTGGACAGTCAGGGTTGATCAAGCACTCGGGCCGACACGCTGGCGGTGTGCCGATATACGTGGGTAAACACGAACAAGATGCTTGTCCGTTTGCATTCTGACACTGAGCGTTTGGTCCGCACGGCGAAGGGTTGCAAGGATCTCCCTGGTCCTTCGGCTCTGGCGGTACTAAAACGTCCAGATTTGTTTAGAAATATTGGAAACACATTTCTCTTTATAACTCGTCATTTTTAACAACGGTGATATTTAATGTTGCTGAATTTGACGTTAAAATTATATTCAAATTTCGAATATTAATTAATTAATTAATGTTGCTGACAGACATTGATGATTATAATTTCCGTTATGATTTCATATTGATTCTTCTCACTTGGCATATCATAACAACTCTTGAACGGATCTCCAGTCTGTCCGGGCAGGCAGCTGCATATCGGCGAGTGGTTGATCACTTCGCATCTCGCGTTCAGGCCGCAGGAGCCCAGGCACGGGTCCGTGCACTTCTTGTTGACGCAGGCTCTCGTCGGTGGGCACTCGGAGCTGACAAGACATTCCGGTCTGCAGGATGGCGGAGAGCCGAGATATCCTTGGAGGCAAGAGCACACTGCGTGATCCTCGATGTTGCGACATTGACTGTTTGGTCCGCAAGGCGAAGGTGTGCACGGATCCTTCTGAGGTAGCGGTACTGTGGCACACGTGAGAGACAAATTTATTTCACGAACTAGACAACACGATTTTGCCCGAAAACTAATGATAACGAAACACCGAAAGAAAGGAATTCAAGAAGCAACTCCAGCACACCTGTAGGCTGAATGCGACAGCTGACGAACGGATCGCCCACGTATCCAGACGGACAGGAACAGACGGGGATGTGATTCACCACGTCGCATTGCGCGTTTTGGCCGCAAATTCCGGGGCAAGGGTCCTTGCACTTGTTCCTCAGGCACGTCTTGTCGCGAGGACACTCGGAATTCAAAATGCACTCCGGACGGCAGGCCTCGTAGGGATTGCCGATGTATTCCGGCAGGCACCTGCATTCACCGTTGTCGCACACGGCGTTCGGGCCGCATGGAGACTGAGCGCAAGGGTCGGTGGACGGTGCTACTGTAACTGTGACAAGAGAAAATTAATAATTAATCCTTTCAATACAGCGGAGCGAAGCGCCGTAGCGTTGCCACTGAACGAGACCCCGCGGCAAAGGTGTACACATTACGCGTGTACAGTCTTCGGCGTTCGGGAGGGGGGGGGGAGGGGTTTACCGGGTTTCGTACCAGTATGAAAATCTTCCGAACTTCTTTTTCATAAAGTCTGTAATATTCTCGTTAACTGACTATTGCTTTATGATACTCGACTAACTCAAAAAAACAAAAGACGAACGAATATAATTCGAATCATGTGGTTCACTCCAGTGAAATAATTTGCATAACGCTCACAAGAGGCGCTATTATTCACAAATTAGTTCGAGAATAGCCGGCGTTAAGGGCGAAAAGGTTAATCGTGTATATTCCACCAGACTGTCATGATAGGAATGAAAAAAATGCAAATGAAGTCCTCTCGTTTCATTTACCTGTCGGGATAACGCTGCACTGCGTGAACGGATCTCCGATGAAACCTTCCATGCACGTGCAGACCGGCAAGTGGTTCAGCACGTGACACTGAGCGTTTATTCCGCACGAGCCCGGACATGGGTCCGCACACTTCTGATTGACGCACGCGAGATGACTCTTGCACTCGGAGCTCAAAATGCACTCCGGTCGACACTGAGGCGGCACGCCGATGTAATTTGGCAAACAAGAGCATGCAGGATTACCGGATATGAGTTGGCACAAGGAATTCGGGCCGCAAGGCGACGGAGTGCAAGACGGTGGCCGTTCGGTCGTCGGGAACTCGTCTAGAACTGAGAGAGGCGATTGTTGCTTTTTATGCCCAGAAAAGGAACTGGAAATTTTGCACAATTAATTTGCATTATCCTCGTAAAGCAATATTTTTCATATATAATGATAAAAGTAAAGGACACAAAAGCGAGAGGTAATAATTTAATCTAAACGAGAGAAGATATCAATGTGAATAAAGAAATAAAAAATAAGATATATGTGTAATGCTTACTATGCGGCGAGCACAGGGTGAAAGGATCCCCCGTGAAGCCGGAGGGACAAGTGCAAATCGGGTTGTGATTCTTGGTGGTACATTGGGCCCTGAGCCCGCAGGTATTCGGACAAGGATCCGCGCACTTCTTGTTCACGCACGCGAGGTGCGGTGGGCACTCAGCGTTAACGATGCATTCCGGTCTGCACGACGGTGGAATACCTCTGTACTCTGGCAGACATGTGCACACAGCCTGGCCATTGACCACCCGACATTTGCTGTTGGGTCCGCAAGGCGACGGGGAACACGGCTCCGCTTGTTCTGAAAGAGATAACATTACCACGTTATTCGCCGAATTATTAATAATGTCAAATAAACCGTATGTGAAAATTATCATTATCAATTATCAAGACAGTCTCCTTCGATAGCTCTGACAATTGTAAAGTAAAATTGAGCATTGATAACACTAATGTGAAAATCACATTAGTGTCTCGTTAACGTAATATTAATTGTATAATTAATCGTTCAATAATACTCACGTGTGATTTCTACGATCTCACAGGCGAAGTACGGATCTCCCGTGTATCCCGCCGGGCACAGGCAAACGGGAACGTGCGCTTGTACGTTGCATATGGACAACGTTCCGCACGTATTGGGACAAGGATCCGTGCACTTGAAGCCAACGCATGCCAGTTGCGGCGCACAGTCATTATTCGTTTCGCATTCTTTATGGCACCCTTTAACAATGTCGTAAGGATCACCTATCAAATCCGGCGGGCATCCGCAAGCACCCGCTCCGTTCCTTTCGCGACATTGCGCATTGGGGCCGCAAGGATTCGGCAAACATGGGTTCGGAATAGACTTGTCTGTCGCTGTAAACAAGCAATACGACAAATATACGTATGGAACCTAACTGTTTAAAGACAAACTTGTATATAATGATATTTTCTACACGTAACAATATTTTTTATATATAACTTTTCTGTATATAAGAATACGTTTATATATAAGGTTGTCTCGTGTATAAAAATATTTCTCTCGATGGAAACATTTTGACTTAGAATTATTTGACGATTTTGTTTTCAGCAGAAATACATCCGCAGATGATTGTTTCATGATTTCGTCGAATATCCGGCACTTCACTCACCTGGCGGTGGTGCCAGGTCGCAGCGCACGGTAGCGTCGCCCTCGTAACCTTCCGGACAGGTGCAAATCGGGATGTGATTCTGGACGGTGCACCTGGCGAGATCGCCGCACGCGCCCGGGCAAGGATTCTTGCACCTCTGGTTGATACACGCGGCAGTGGTGAGACACTCCGAGTTGTCGGTGCATTCCGGTCTGCAGTTCGGCGGGCGGCCGATGTAGTTGAGCAGACAGGAGCAGGCCGGATGCGAGCCGATCACCTTGCACTGCGAGTTCGGGCCGCAGGGATTCGGCGAGCACGGGTCCCCTTCGCCCTTCGGCAACGGCGACACGGTGCTGACCTTGAAGCAGTGCACGAAGGGGTCGCCGGCGTAGCCGTTGGCGCAGCTGCAGATGGGATTGTGGTTGACCGTGAGGCAGTTGGTGTTCTGCCCGCATGAGCCTGGACACGGGTCCGCGCACCTGTTGTCGACGCACGCCTTATTCTGCGGACACTCGGAGCTGACGATGCAGCCCGGCCGGCAGGTCGGCGGGATCCCGGAGAATCCTGGCTGGCACAGGCACACCGCGTGCCCGTTCTGCGTCCGGCAGTTGCTGTTGGGCCCGCACGGCGACGGGTCGCAGGGATCGATCGGTGGCGGCAACGGTGTCACCTCTATCACTGTGCAGCCGTTCACCGGGTCGCCGGTGTAACCCGGCAGGCAGGAACACGACGGAGCGTGGTTCACGACGCGGCACGTAGCGCCCTGGCCGCAGGTCCCCGGGCACGGGTTCACGCATTTGTTGTTCAGACAGGCCTTGCTGCGGTCGCAGTCGGCGTTGGTCACGCACTCAGGTCGGCAGGCGATGTACGGGTCGCCGAAGTATTGCGGCAGGCAGGTGCAGGACCCGACGCCGTTTCGCTCGTTGCACACGGCGTTGGCGCCGCACGGCGACGGATTGCACGGCGTGGTGTAGCGTACCGTTGTGATAGGTTCTGCAAAGAATTCATTATGGACCGTTAGCGCTTATCGTTGGTTCATTTCGAGGGTAAGTTTGAAAACGCGCAACCGTTTGTGCAAAACGTACCGTCCATGATGAGCGTACACTCCGTGAAGGGATTGCCGGTGTAGCCTTCGTTGCATATGCAAACAGGGTTGTGTTTCACGACGTTGCAGTTGGTGTTGACGCCACACGAGCCTGGGCACGGATCGACGCATTGTTCGTTCTGACACGCCAAGTTTCCGGGACATCCCTCGTTTATAACACATTCCGGACGACAATTTGGTGCACGGCCCACGTAATTCGGCAGGCAGGAGCATGCTGGGAAGCCGTCGATCACCCGACACTGGGAGTTCGGACCGCACGGCGAGGGAACGCACGGATTGCCACTCGGTTTCGGCGTCGATGTCACTTCTATCATACATAAGTGAATAAATTCAGATCTAGACGTTCAATGACTCATATATGATTAATGATTACGATTATTATATAAAAAAAGATACATAGACATTTGAGTATGCGAGATAGCGAACGGATACAAAAATTGAAAGCAACAGCAACTGAGGAGGCTTTCAGACTTACCTTCTTTGACACATCCGAAGAACGGATCGCCGCTGTAGCCGATCGCGCAAATGCAGACCGGATTATGATTGATCACTCGGCACTCTGCGTTCACGCCACACGTGCCGGGACACGGATCCTTGCACCTTTGATTGATGCACGCCGCGTTCGCACCACAATCCGTGCTGACCACGCATTCCGGCCGACAAGACGGTGGGCTGCCGATGTAATTAGGTTGGCAAGAGCAGACCGCGTGATTGTCGATGACACGGCAGTTGCTATACGGCCCACAGGGAGACGGTTGGCATGTATTATCCGGCACCGGAGGCTCTGCAGAAAAGATACCTCGCATTACAGCGTATTCTTGAGGAATCCGATTATGGCAGCAACGTCGAAGATGTCGCAAAAATCTAGCAGAAATCGAATCTCGTGGATACGCAGCCACAAGATAGTAATTTTATGTCTAAAATCGTTATTAGTCAGTAATGTAATATTCACTTTTTCCAGTGGCTGGATAAATAAATTAGCTGATGGCCCAACAAAAGAAAATACAGTTACGAAATAGGAAATCATAATTAATTGTTAGACAGTAATGTAACGTTCATTTCTGCTTCCTTAAGATTTTTATGAAATAACCTACCCTCAATTTTTATCTGCTACTTCATTTTTAAATGCTAGCCGTGGGTATATGGTAAATAGATTATATATTTTAAAATAGGCAACGCTATCTAGTCTATCACATTTGATGTATAATGTTTAGACAATGGCTAAGCCACAAAACCGATTCTACATTTTTATTTCTTATTATTTATTATTTTTTAGATTTTGAATCAAACACTCGTTTTGCCTTATTCCAGAAGACAAATCTATTTCAATTAAAGAAATTTTCTTCTCCGATAGTTACTAGCTTTTGACTCAAGTCGACTGGATATATTTTTACCCGGTGAACGTCGCAAACACACATACCTATCGGCACGTGGCAAGATTTCAGCGGATCCCCGGTGTAGCCAGAAAGGCAACTGCACGACGGTTGGTGATTATAAACTTGGCATTGCGCGTTGATCCCGCACGCTCCTATGCACGGATCCTTGCACTTGTTGTTGATGCAGGCCTTCGTGTGAGCGCAATCCGAGTTCTGCACGCATTCCGGCCGGCAACCCTCGTACGGATCGCCGGTGTAATCCGGCAGGCAAGTGCAAGAGCCCGCACCGTTCCGTTCCTTGCACACGGCGTTCGCGCCGCACGGCGAAGGATCGCACGGCATTTGCACCGGGAACACGACTGTGGAGCGAACACGTGTCATAAGTATGTGAATTATAAAGACGACGAAGCATATAAATAACGCTCTGATCAATTTTGTCTCAAAGGTTTCTCCGAATAAAGCGAATTATTAGGATCTCACCTTTGGCACAGCCTGAGAAAGGATCTCCCTCGTAACCGTCGTAGCAGTAGCACATGGGTCGGTGATTTTGCACTGTACAGTTCGTGTTGAATCCGCAGGATCCAACGCACGGGTCCAGACATTTCTTTTGGATACACGATAAGGAACTAGCGCAGTCCTGATCGATCACACACTCCGGTCTGCAATTCGGCGGTGCCCCAAACATACCGCTGATGCACGTGCATATGGGATGGTCCTCTTGGACGCGGCAGTCGGCATTGGGGCCGCAGGGCGATGGTAAACAAGGATTCCTGGTCGGAGGTAGAGGTTCTAAAAGCATTACATTATTATGTTATATTAGAGAGATCCTCAGAAAATTTTTTCCCCTTAAAAGAGTGCTCGATAATAACTATTTTATTTAATATGTAAGAAAATTACACTGACAATTTGCTTTAATTTTATTAAATTTTTAATCACAAGAAAAATAATCGTGATGAAACGCTTCGTAATAAATACTACTTGCTTGATTTGTAGAAGACATATGTCTCAGTAATTTATTTTAATTTTATTCCATTTTCATATACATCAAAGAATGACTCGAGCAACTCTTCTCTTAATTCTATTCTATTTTTAATTGCGAAAAATAACTCGAGAGAACGTTTTGTTGATAATCAATTACCAAATATGATAAATATATTACCTTCTTTGACGCATTGCGTGAATGGATCGCCGACATACTGACGAGGACAGCTGCAGATCGGATTGTGATTGAGGACTTGACAATGAGCATTCAAGCCGCACAAGCCCGGGCAGGGATCATTACACTTTTGATTAATGCAAGCCAAATGAGTCGGGCATTCAGTGCTGACGAGACACTCAGGGCGGCAATGTGGGGGTGTGCCTTGGTAACCCGGACTGCAGGAGCACACTGCGCGGTCTTTCATTACGCGACAGATGCTGTGTGGCCCGCACGGTGATGGCATACACGAATTTTGATCTGGCACTGCTATGAAAAAATAAATTTAAGTTAAATCTTCGAATTGTCGCTACACTGTCATCATTCGATTCCCATAGAAATCTATCCCTTTCTGCTGTAATTATGCGCGTGTACAGGTTTCGGATTAATAAAGAATACTTAACAGATCAAGCGTGAAGAGATATTTCGGATATCCAACATTTCAAGATTGAACTCGCCTCTGAGAAAAACGAACCGTCCTTTTTTTATTCTTTCTTAATTACTTATAGAAAAGATTTGAAAACCTAAATTCACAGTTGTTGCAAAGTATGTGTTTTGTAAAACACATGAAACAAAATGAACGTTGACTGAGAAATATTCACGTACAAGGCTTCTCCACTTTACAGGATCTGAACGGATCGCCGGTGTATCCTGGCAGGCAGGAACACATTGGAAGGTGATCGACGACCTCGCAGCGCGCATTAGCGCCGCATACACCCGGGCATGGATCTCTGCAGTGCTGATTGAAGCAGGCCAGATGATTCTCGCAATCGCGATTAACGATGCACTCAGCTTCGCAGCCGTCCACGTAGGGATTGCCGACGAATGGCGGTACGCATGTGCACTTAGCCACGCCATCGAACGAGGTGCAAATAGCATTCTTGCCGCAAGGTGACAACAAGCAGAGATCGTACGGTCCGGATGGTCGCGCTGCAATTAACAAACCATCGTCACTGTTAATCTTCTTGATTATCGCTCGAGACACGCATTACGAAAAGTTAACGCAAAATAAAATATAAAATAAAATACTTCCTATAACTCTGGACGTATATTTAAAGAAGTAAAAATTACAAGAAATTACGTAATAAAAAGTAAAATTACATATGATATAAAATTAGAGATATACGATATGATAGAAAAAATTGAAGATACGCGACAAGAAAGGGTTAAAAGGTAGCCGGACGGCTTTTGAATCTGAATCGTTTCGGTCGATCATTGATGATAATTACCTCCGCAGCTCTTGTACGGATTTCCGACCATGAGATCCGGGCAGTAGCAAGGTGGCACTCTCGTGCTGTTGCATGCCGCTCCGGAACCGCAGGGATTCGATTCGCATTGGTCGGCTTTGGGCACGCATCCCCTGATCGTGTTAGGGCTCTCGATGTATCCTGGTAGACAGGTACACTTCGCGAAGCCGTTGCTCAACACTGTACAGCGAGTATTGGGGCCACACGGAGAAGGATCGCAGGAAGTGCTGGGTAGTACGCAAGGGGTGTGCGGCGGTTCCCCCTCGTATCCTGGCAAGCAGAAGCACTTCACCTGTCCGCCCACCACTCGGCATCCTGAATTAACGCCGCATGGATTGCCCTCGCACTGGTCGCCTTCTGGAACTAACGCGATCATTCATTGAGGACGGTCAGATTAGCAATTTCTCTGAAAAAAATCCTGCACACGAGCCGAGTTATTTCATTTTATAACTTTAAATCATTTTTGAATATATCGTTGCGCTCCACCCGCTTATCCGTTTATCGCGATACCGCGGCACTCCCGATCTCGCGCATTCCTCGCGAATAAACAGAGACCGGAAGTATAAAAGAAACTTTATTAGGGAGCTGTAGAATCGTTTGTTCGCCGTGGAAATAATCGCTCGTGAAACCGACACGTCTCCTCACGTTGACGGCTCGTATTCGATTCTCCCTTCAACTGCTGTTTCCTCACTGCTAAAGTCCCCTGCTTTTTCACCAATCGATCTCGATCTCTCAACTTCTCGAACTCTCGAGACATCGGGGAATGAACGCAGCAATATGTATCTCATGCATAGGTAATGATAAAAATGTGTACATACTGCATTGCTCGAACGGACTGCCGGTTAGACCCTTCGGGCAGAAACAAACGGGGTTTCCATTGTCGTTCTCGCACAGGGCGTTCAGACCGCACGGATTCGGCACGCAAGGATCGGAAGTGAATGTCTCGTCTTGGCAACCGACATGGGGATTCCCGCGGTATCCTGGCAGGCACGTGCACTGCGCCTCGTGATTACTGGACACGCACTTCGCATTCTCCCCGCAGTCATACTCAGCGCACGGATTGATGCATTCCCTGTTGAGTCGATCGCAGTACTTGTTCGGAGGACAGTCCTCGTTGTATTGGCAGATATTCTTGCCTTCCTCCACTGAAATCGTAGAACGCGTTAATATAACCTATGCAAATCTCTAATTGATCTCTCGTCACAAGTTATAACAAGTTATAAAAATTAAGCGTAAAGTTTCGCTCGTGCGATTTCTGTTTGCATCATTAACGTTCTACAAACCTTCGCATTAATCTGTCATTTCAGAGCTTGGAGAGATTGAATGATCGGTATTGTAACGTTTTATCGGAAATTTCATTGCACCGTACACTGAGAGACAAAATATTTAAGAAATAAAAATGATTCACTCTAAGATATTTCTTTCCTCAGTGTGAGATAAATGTGACATCGTCGAAGCTTACCCAAATCGCAATAGGAGAACCCGTTGCCGTGGTAGTCCTCCTCGCAGCTGCAGTCTGCTCCGTGATTCGTATTAATACAAATAGCGTGTTCCGCGCAAGGATTCCGAACCAGACATGGCTCCTGGCAAGTGTGCCCAATGCACGCCTCTGTCAAGGGGCAATCCCTGTTGCTAGTGCAACCCGCTAGAGAAAGAGTGAGAAAGCCCATGTAGCCCCAGGAGGTGTGGTGTGCACTTGAGTACGAGACTTGAGGTGTAATGAAGAGTTTCTCGTTGCGTTAGCATGTGTGATTTTCTGCTCGCCGATTGCAGCGTTATTGCGTAAGTGCGAAAAGTATGCGGACCGCGAATGTCTCGGGAGAGGGACGCTCTGCTCCCGAGCAGGAGGAATATGTATAATCAAAGAGATAACGACACTTTGGAGAGACACGAACGTCTGCTGGAGGATTTGTTCTTCGTGACCATGCGCGACAGTTTAAATAGAATATTGAATATTTCGTGCCTTGCGGACAGGAGTCGAGATATGTATAATTTGCAGAATATGTATACGTGAGATATGTACAGTACATACACATATGTACACGTCCGTCGACGGCTATAAGAAACTGAAATCAAGATCAGGTGTAACCAAGCGCCGTGCTGGCGAGCGTACGAACCTTTGACGCAGGTGTTCGTCGATGGGTCGCACTGCATACCAGGTGGGCAGTAAGGGCACTCCGCTTCGTTGGTATCCACTGAAAGCGAGAGTAAGAGTAAACAAAATGTGATCCTTTCGTTCTCATCGGCAGTACTGGTTGCTGTTCGTTGTAAATCGCAAGTACTTACGTTTGACACAGACCGGTCTGTGATCCTGGACATGGCACACCTCGACGAAGTCGCACGGATTGCCCAAGGTGCAAGGATTCAGGCACTGTTGATTCACGCACGCCAGCTGGACCGGACAGTCGCTGTGCGTCGTACATTTCACGTCTAACGAAACAAACGCGCATTAGATGCCGGAATTAACGGCGATGTACGATGAAAGCATGGTGGAATGTTAATCTCTACGTGTTGCAACGGAAAGTCTAATCTGACCTGATCTTTTTTTTACCCTGCCGCCTTGGTACGCTTTAGCGCATGAACGGCGGCTTACAAAGAAACAATGTACACTTTACAACACAATGTAGATTTCACTTAGGTCTATCGCAGAGTGCGGTATACATAAATATGAACATAAATGTGAACACGAGCGAGGATGATGTACGATTTTCCCTTAATTCGTGAGACATTTAGTGATATTCGTGTTACGTGTGTATCAAGCCTAGCAGCTAAGTAAGAGACATTGATGCGCGTCTACCGTCGAGCGAAATTATCGTTCGTCGTCGTCGTTTCTTCATCTCGATTCACGGATTCTGCGTGACGAGAGAATTTTCTATGCGGCCGCGACGGCCACCGTGTGCGACGCCGTCGCGTCCCGCGCGAAAGATAATTTCAACTCGCGAGTGGACTGCGGATTGTGAGAAATCGCAAGTCCTAGGTGTGTTAGGTACGCGGAAGCTCTGAGAGAAGTTCGTGCACAGGCGTTAATTTACATCATGCGTAGAGCGCTAATGCAGCAGTCCTTTGTCTGCATTTGGGAAGTCGGTATACGACTGTATCCGAAAACGACAGTATCCGGCATGGTCACCGTAGGAATAGACAGATGTTCGATTTGTGAATCGCCCTCGTGATACCGATGGCGTTCCCGTGTGTCGTGGGTTCGATATATATGTAGACGGACGAGCGCCATTCTGGTGGTGTGTATGACCGATCGCTCGTCTCAAGCAATGTTTCACACTCTCCAGAATTGGTTGCCTCCAATTTTCATCTGGATATATATATATATATATACATATATATTTATGATGAATACCGGGCTCCACACTGGAGAAAGCTCGTGGAGAACACATAGTCGGTGACATGAAATGATATATACCACAATTATACGAAAACTCCCGACGAGAGAAATCTTTACCTGGGAGTATGCTACAATTAGACGTACTCTGCTCGGTACTTGAGTCTAAGCACACAGGCCGGCGATTCGTGACGTCGCATATTACGTTCTCTGGACAGGGGTTAGCGGTTTTACAAGGATTGCGACACAGACGATCGACGCAGGTCTCGCATTCGGTGCAGTCGCTATCTACATCGCAGACCATGTCTGTTTTATTCCGGGTGACCTGTACAGGAACGGTGGATTGTTCTGTGGAATATTGTTCCGTCATATATTGTTCTGTTGCGGTATATTCCGTCGAAGGTTCGGTCGTCGTATATCGCTCTGTCGTGGTTTGTTCGGGTGTGACGAGCTCTTCCATTACGGTAGAATGCTCTTCAGTGGAATATCCCGCTGTACTGTGTTGTATCGTAGTAAGGGACGATTGCGTAGATGTGACGCGCTCTTCTGTGGTAGAGTACTCTTCCATGGGCTCTTGCGATGTTATGAACTGTTCTGTTGTAGAATATTCTTCCGTAGGATATTTCGGAGTGCTATATTGTTCCGTGGTCGAGGTATGTTCCGTAGATTGTTCGAATGTAGTGTATCGTTCTGTGGGCTGCTCTGATGTTCTAAGTTCTTCCGTAGTGGAATACTCAGATGTGCTTTGATATTCTGTAGTAGACATTCGTTCGCTAACCTGCTCAGTCGTGGTGTATATTTCTGTAGGCTGTTGCGATGTACCGAATCGTTCTGTTGTAAGATATTCTTCTGTGGAGTATTGAGGAGTACTGTATTGTTGTGTAGTCGAGATCTTTTCTATAGGCTGTTCAGGCGTTGTGTATTGTTCTGTCGTGGAACTCTGTTCTGTTGTGGAGTATTCTTCTGTGGGATATTCAGATGTGCTGTAAAATTCTGTAGTAGGGATTTTTTCTGTGGGTTGTTCGGATGTAGTGTATTGTCTCGTGGTACTGATTTCTTCTGTAGTCAAGATCTCTTTTGTAGGTTGTTTAGTTGTTGTGTATTTTTCTGTCATAGAACTTTGTTTCGTTGTGGAATATTCTTCTGTGGGATATTCAGATGTGCTGTAAAATTCTGTAGTAGGGATTTTTTCTGTGGGTTGTTCGGATGTAGTGTATTGTCTCGTGGTACTGATTTCTTCTGTAGTCAAGATCTCTTTTGTAGGTTGTTCAGTTGTTGTGTATTGTTCTGTCGTGGAACTTTGTTTCGTTGTGGAATATTCTTCTGTAGGATATTCAGATGTGCTGTGAAGTTCTATAGTAGAGATTTTTTCTGTAGGTTGTTCGGATGTAGTATATTGCCTCGTAATACTGATTTCTTCTGTAGTCGAGATCTCTTCTGTAGGTTGTTCAGTTGTTGTGTATCGTTCTGTCGTGGAACGTTGTTTCGTTGTGGAATATTCAGATGTGCTGTAAAATTCTGTAGTAGGGATTTTTTCTGTGGGTTGTTCGGATGTAGTGTATTGTCTCGTGGTACTGATTTCTTCTGTAGTCAAGATCTCTTTTGTAGGTTGTTTAGTTGTTGTGTATTTTTCTGTCATAGAACTTTGTTTCGTTGTGGAATATTCTTCTGTGGGATATTCAGACGTGCTGTAAAATTCTGTAGTAGGGATTTTTTCTGTGGGTTGTTCGGATGTAGTGTATTGTCTCGTAATACTGATTTCTTCTGTAGTCGAGATCTCTTTTGTAAGTTGTTCAGTTGTTGTGTATCGTTCTGTCGTGGAACTTTGTTTCGTTGTGGAATATTCTTCTGTGGGATATTCAGATGTGCTGTGAAATTCTGTAGTAGAGATTTTTTCTGTAGGTTGTTTGGATGTAGTATATTGCCTCGTGGTACTGATTTCTTCTGTAGTCGAGATCTTTTCTGTAGGTTGTTCAGTTGTGTATCGTTCTGTCGTGGAATATTCTTCTGTGGGATATTCAGATGTGCCATGAAGTTCCGTAGTAGAGATTTTCTCTGTGAATTGTTCGGATGTAGTATATTGCCTCGTGGTACTGATTTCTTCTGTAGTCGAGATCTTTTCTGTAGGTTGTTCAGTTGTTGTGTATCGTTCTGTCGTGGAACTTTGTTTCGTTGTGGAATATTCTTCTGTGGGATATTCAGATGTGCTGTAAAGTTCCGTAGTCGAGATTTTCTCTGTGGATTGTTCGGATGTAGCATATTGCCTTGCGGTAGTGTATCGTTCTGTAGGCTGTTCCGTCGTACCGATCTGTTCTGTTTCTGTAGAGTGTCCTTCTGTTGTAGAGTGAAGTGTGGTGTACTGTTCGGTAGTAGAGGATTCTGTGATGGATATACCAGTGACTTCGCGTGAGGTACTGGCGTTATCGGTGACCGACTCGTTTGTCGTAAGTGCAGGTGGTTCGGAGGTAATTAGACGCGGGGTGGTGTCTTTTATGTACGACTGAGTTGTACGTGGCAGTGTAGTCTCGGCAGTGCTCGATTCTTGGGTAATCTCTTTGGCAGTGTCGTATTCGATATATATCGTAGACGTTTCGGTAGGTTCTAAAGTACTCGGCGGTGACGCCGTATGAGTCTCCTGCGTGAAAAGTGTCGAGGTAGTCGCGGTTTCAGTGATAATCTCCATACGTGGCTCAGTGACCTTTTCTAAAGGCTTTACCGTTAATTCTCTAGATTCTGTAGTAGTGAAATATTGTGATGTAGTCGTCGCTGCCGTCGTGATCTCTTCAACACTTACGGCAGGAACTTCCGTAGTAGGAACTATGGTTGCGTTCTCAGGAATTTCCGCAACTTCGCTTACACCCGTCGACGTAGGAACTGTCGTCGTTCCGGCACCTTCGCGAGAAACCGTGGTTTCGACGATGTTCTCAGTGGTAATCTCAATAGGTTTGAAAGTAACCGGGGAAGTGACGGTGGCCGTGACCGAAGCAGTAGCTGTTTCGGGTATTTCGGTGGTCGTGGCGAATTCTAATTCGTTCTCCGTTGTCGCAATTGCGGTAGAAGAAGTCACATTTTCCGTGACAGCTTCTTCCGTACTACTATACGAAGTTGGAACAATGGAAGCGGTCGAGAATTCGATTCCGGATGTGATCGTAAACGTTGTATATTCCGTCGAAGTACTCTCGACGAAGCCGGTACTTTCGAATGCCGGAGTGGTAACGTTTTCCAATTCAACGTTCGTCGTTAAAGTCGACGTATCACTTGGAACGCCGAGTTCGGTCGTACTCGATATCGAAAACATGGTCGTTGTACTGCCCGGAGGCTCGGTAGTGATCTCTATCGACGCGGTTGTCGTGTCCGATTTGCGGGTGGTCTCGACAGTGACATTGTCCAACAAGGTTTCAGTGACTTCAATCAGGGGAACTGTACTCTCCTCTGTGTATGTAACGGTTGACATTTCTGTAGTGGGAATAGTAGTCGAGGTGGATGTCAAAATACCGACGGTTGCTGAGGTCTGTAACGTACTGGTACCGATAGTCTCGAAAGTGTGATCTGAATCAGTAGGGCGCAACGTCGTCGTGCCGTTAGTTAAGCAACTTTCGTCATTAGGATCGCAATCGCAAATAGGCCTGTGCGCTTCGACTCGACATTGAACTGTCAGCTGACACCCGTCGATACAAGGATCAACGCAGGAGCTATCGACACAGGCTTCTGCGTCGCTGCAGTCATCATCGGACTCGCAAGCCGGCTTGGGCATGGGGCGAAGAACTGCTGCGGATACAACGTAAACATAATAACTGTTAAAGTGTCAAAACTGAAATCAGGAAGCGACCCTGATTAGGCTATGCTACAGATAATACAGTTTATATCAATTACTACCAAATTAATAGTAAGCATGCTTGCGTAATAGGTAAGCTGATTATAAGAAACATTATTAGAGGTCTTTACAGAGACAGATGTAACGGAAGAATCCTTCAGTAGTGAGGAGACTGGCAGAGTAGAGCGGGAATTTTTTTAGGGCGTGGGAGAGATTTGTATATCTGTAACTTGGAACCTGAAATACGCGTTCAGACAACAGAACAGGAATATATATATATATATATATATGCATCTAATCGCGGCTGCCGTATCAAAGAAGTTTCCCGATCAATCGTTAGCGTAGAGAATAGCGGCTCGTGTGAGAAAGAGCGACAAATTCACGAAAAGACTCGTGTGCACGATCGACAAAGACTCGATGGATATATTCTGCTGTCTGGACGATCGGAAACCTGAAAATAGCAATCGTATGTCTCGTGTAAGGCCAGGCAAATGTAAAGACGTGGTAACGGCTATGAGAAATGACAAGACTCAGATGGTGTTCTGAGAAATGGTGTTTACCTTTCATGCATCCGTATTTAGTATCTGGCACAAAGCCGGGGGGACAGAACTTGCAGATAGGCTTGTGCTCCTCCACGTAACAGGGGGCATCAGCCGGACAGGTAGAGTTTCTGCATGGGTCCACGCAGCGATAGTTGCGGCACGCCAAGTCTGGAGAGCAGCCACTGTCTCGCAGGCAAATGGAGAGGGAAGGATTGCAGTTTTTGGTGCAAATGCACACGGGACGGTGGTCCAGGACATCGCAGGTCTTATCGGCCGGGCACGGTCTTTTGTTTCGTACGTTACAGGGATTCTGACATTTGCCGTTGACGCACGCTGCGTTCGAGGGACAATCGAAGTCCCTCGTGCAGGTGAGCGTGTCGGGAGCGCAGGTCAACTCCCCGACCTCGTTCACCACGAAGCCGTATTTGCAAACGCACATAGGCTTGTGACTCCGCACCTGACACCTCTTGTTGACCTCGCAGTTATACCGAGAACTCAAACACGGGTCGCGGCACTCGCCTGTCTGAGAGTGGCAGGAGAGACTCTCCGGACAGTCGTGGTCGGAGGAACAACCGATGCTCGGCGTAGGTTGGGGATTGAGCGTGTCGCATTTGGAATCTGGATGGCAGGCCGTGTGGGGCATACCGATATAGCACTGCGGGCACGAGCAACGCGGCTTGTGCAGAACCACTCGGCACAGAGCATTGATCCCACAGGCACCGCGTAGCGCGCACGGGTCCAGACATTGTAGATTTATGCAGGCTTTTTCATTGGGGCACTCTAAGTCGCTGGTGCATTCGCGCTCTATCGGTCGCGATAGTAGTGGTGTTCAACGGTGTAGAGTCGGTGGGTCGTGGTTGGGTGGGACAGGAAAAAAAAAGAAAAAAGCATTTATAAGAACTGTGAAAAGAAACTTTCTCACAAATAACATAAACCACATGCTTTGTATTTATGATGAAAGTAGGGTAGGCTCTGTGAAGAAGTATAGAGAACGACTTTACACTTTTTCTCAAACGTATCAGATATCTTCTCAGAGAAATAACAACGGCAAGCAGCGATATTTACAACACAAGCCCCCACAGATTTCAGAAATAAGGAGGAAATAATAAACCCGTGAATATCAGCAAATATCAAGCATGGGTATATGAGAATGTCCCTTTCGCAGTTCCCAATCTGTATTAATCCTAAGTTACGAGATGGTGTCGACTGTAAATGTGTACCTCCTTGTATTCAAGTGGCACTATTTGGCAACGAGTGTCTCTTTGCTATTCAATTATACTTCCTTCTTAGACAGATTGGATACTGAAATAAACATTCTACATATGAAGTTATGTGTGAGATATGTGTGACACGTGTTCTCTCTCTCTCTCTCTCTCTCTCTCTCTCTCTCTCCCTCTCTCTCGTCAAATTTATGTACAGTATGCCTATATCGTATATATGTACAGGTAATATGTTGACTTTGCTGTGGGTAAATATGTAAAAATCCAGTGTCGTGGCGATATATACTGCTCCAATCACATCTGTCTCTCGATGTTAACGATTTCACTCGATTAAACAATACATCTATGTATTATTCAAATCCTACTAGACGATACATGGTTATTCTACGGACCATGTTCCTGTGATTGTCAGTATTGCTCGCTAGTCACAAATGCTGTACATAAAATTAATCAACCTGCTCGGTTAAAAAGTTAGTAGGCTCTATTTTCCTACCTGTCGTGCACTCGATATCCGGCGAGCCGCTGGTACCTGGCGGACATCGGCAGACGAATATAGCTCCGTCCCTAATACACTCGGCATTCTGTCCGCAGCCGTTAATCCGACAGTCACCCAAATCCCTATCTGAGCTACCTGTACCGACAGTTTATTAATAATGACGATAACGGTTGGAAAAATAAGCGGCAAACGTTAATCTTAACATTTCGTCACAATTCTAAATAGATCTTTAACAGACCTTCTTTAAGCAATCTTATGTGAAATCTTGAGAAATTAAATTAAATTCATTTAACATCTCGTTTCATCAGCTTTAACAAAAGATGCGAGATTCTTGCGATTTCTCTCGCGAGCAACCAGCATTTGCCGCAACATTTTTCTCGTTCGCCTTATACCTCAGGCTAGATTCTTCGATACGTAGGAGCAATACGTACATGCGTGCATTGGATCGCCCGATGGGTTGCTCGGTGGGCAATAACATTGCGGCTGATTCTTGTAAATTCGGCAGGCTGCGTTGACACCGCAACGCGTGTCCTTGCAGAGATCGCCGTCGCAGAGGCACGCCTGATGCGGATCGCCGTGGCATCCCGGATCACAGGTGCATTCGAAACCGCTCACAGTTTCTCGGCATTTGGCGTTGATACCGCAAGGTCTTCGTAAACATTCGTCTCCACCTGAAAACGATTAAAACGCGCACTTATTAATCATCGCGTTGATAAATACACCGATCGCGATTAGGGGATCGCATTTTCAAGTGTTCTCATCGTTTCTAATAATAATATCCTGAATATTCCTCTCGGTATTTAATTTTGATTGTTTCGACAATTTCGAGTATTTTAATTTGCAATTCTAAATTAATCCTAGGCGTTTGAATTAAATTAATTAAATTAATTCTGACTTAAATCTAGGCGTTTGAAGGCAAGAACAGGAATCGTCTAGTCTAGTTTCCGTCTAGTTTCCGCGGCCGAACACCACAAACGTACCTTTCTTGCAGTTGATCTTTGGATTGCCGACGTGTCCCGGTGGGCAAGAGCACTGTGCCTTCCTGTTGATCACCCGGCACTGCGCGTTGAAGCCGCAGACGCTGTGCTGCAAGCACGGATTCGTGCAGACCCCGTATTCGCTGCAACGTTTGTTCGGTTCGCAATCGTCGTCGTGATGGCACTCGAGCTGGTAGCACTCCTGGCTCGGCTCGCCCTGGTAGCCCTCCGGACACAGGCAAACCGCGCGATGATTCGAGACGCGGCAGAGTGCGTTTATTCCGCAGGGTGATCCGTGGGCGGAACATGGGTCCACGCATTGGCCGTTCGCGCACGACAACGATGCCGGGCAATCGGAGTGCGTGCGACAGCCGATCAGACATATGCCTCCGTCGCACACGTAGCCCTGAAGAAATCCGAACGTACGAAAAAGTGTATTAATTCATTACTCGTGACACACCAATCGATCGATTATTAGTAAATTATTTCAGATAACCGATCAGTTAATTAATTATGACACCATATTGACACTCGCGCACGTGAACGATTTAATTTATTGAGTTGATTTCGATTGTTAACGTCGATATCGATCACATTTTTTTAACTCACCTTGGGACAGGCGTTGTTGACGTCGCACTTGATGCGGCACTTTCCGTTGTGACAGACCTCCCCGCACGAGCAGTGATCCTGATGGTGGCAGCCGGTGGTGCAGAATCCGATTTCGTCGCACTCACACGAGCCGTCGCAAGGGATCATGGTCTTCGCGCAATTAATCAACGCGTTGCCGTAATAATTGGCTGGACAGCTGCATTGAGCCACGTGATTGACCACCCGACATCCGGCACAGTCGCCGCATGCCTTGCCACCTTCGCATGGACCTGGAGGTAACGATGCGCATCGTCAATTAATTCCAAGTTGTGCAAACGCTGCTGACACGTTGTTTTTGCACGGTGAAATTTACAAAGGAAGAGAGAGAGAGAGAGAGAGAGAGAGAGAGAAAAATTGATTAAATAAAACTCAAAAATTAAGAGATATATATTGTGCTTTTTCTCTTGCCTGGGATTGAAAATTCAGCGTTACAGTTTAATAGTCGGACTTTTCCACGTGCTAATTATTTTTTATGTTTATTCGATTGTATACTTACTTCTGCATTGATTGTTGATGCAGGACTCGTCGCTTGGACACGTGTTATCGCTACGACATCCAATGTCGCACATGCGACTGTGACATATCTGGTTGGCAACGCAATGGTCGTCACTGTTGCATATTGCCTTACAAATACCGCCGTCGCACCGCTCGTCGCTCAAACAATTCGCGTCACTGAAAAAGAGTAATTATTTTTAATGTGATTCAGACATCGTAAAACACCGTGATAACGTCGCAATGAATTCACGCTGGGGCGTTCTCACCTTCTGCAGGTGGAATAACATGATCTGCCGTAACACGTTTGTCCGGGCAAGCATTCCAGTTCCGATGAACAAGGAAGGAACGCCTGCTTGCATCCAATTTGCGAATCTCCGACCAAAGGCAGCGGACACGAACATACCTTCTGGTGATTGATGGTCGTGCACTTGGCATTTACGCCACAAGCGCCAGGCAATAGACACGGATCTATGAAAATGAAAGCAACAAATATATTTATACATAATATCCGTATAAAAAATTAATCGAACACAGGGAAATCGAGCGTAAATTTGCCGTTTCTCCGATGTCTCCCTTTCAAAAAAGTCCAAACAGCAAAGACTTCTAAAAAAAAGTCTAAAAACAACAGGATGCTTCTTTTTATAAAAGCTCTTGTTGCAATAAAGATTTTTTATATTATAAATTTTATTATATCAAAGATTTTATATATTATTTTAAAAAATAAAAAATAAATCACAAATATAATAAAGAAACCGAGGGTAAATTTGCCGTTTGCATTTCTCCGACGTCTCCCTATAAAAAACCCAAACAGCAAAAACTTCCGAAAGAAATCTAAAAATAGTAAGTAAATTGTCTTTTCGATAAGATCTCTTATTATATTGAAGATTTTATTATATTATCAATTTTACTATATTAAAGATCATATATTTTGATGATCTAAAATTTCGAAGACTTCTTTCAGAAGTTTGCACTGTCTGAGAAGGAAGTTCTCACGCTGAGAGATATCGGTGCTTACCAGTGCATTGATTGTTGACACACGCGTAATTATCCTGGCACTCGATATCCGCGCGACAACCGGCGACGCACACCAGACCCTCGCAGATCTCGCCGCTTCTGCAATCCTCGTCCCGCCTGCAGAGCGACTTGCAGATGCCAGTGCTGTCGCATCTCTCGTTGCTCAAGCAGTTCGCGTTCGTCGAGCAGACGGCCGTGCAGACGCCGGCGATGCAAGCCGTGCCTATGGCGCAGTCCCGATTAGCCTGGCAGATCGGGCCAGGTGACCTGAGACACGCGACCTTGGCCGTGGGGTTCGGGATGAAGCCGACGGGGCAGGAGCACGTCGCTCGTTGATTGAAGACGGTGCACTTGGCGTTCGGTCCGCACGGCGTGGCCTCGCACGGGTTCACGCACTTGTTGCCCAGGCATGCCTCGTTCGCGTTGCAATCCTCGTCGGCGCGACAGCCGAACGAGCACATGTTGTGCAGGCAAATGTGGCCCAGGAAACAGTCGTTGTCCAAACGGCAAGTCAGCAAACAATTGCCGCTGATGCACTTCTCGTTCAGCGCGCACTCGTTGTCGACGGTGCAGATCGGCAGGCAGACGTTCTCGCGACAGGTGTTGCCTGCGCTGCAGTCTTTGCTTCCCAGACAGGACACCGGTACTGCGAGTAAAGATGGTTTCATCAACATACGCCCTCGCATATCGAGCGATGACAGTGTCCGCGTGGAAGGAGAATTAGTACCAATCCGGGACTCATGTTCTCATATATAAGCGGGAATATATAATCTTATGTGACGATAATATTTCACTCGCACGAACCAATTCGCTATAGTTCCATTAAAAATATATTCTTATTATTCAAGAATTATTTACATCGCTTGAAAGGGAAAAATATTGAATGGAAAGAACAATATCTTCGACAATTTTTGATCTGGAAATATCGTCCTTTCTATTCAATATTTTTTTCCTCTCAATTCATGAGAATTACTCTTGAGTAGCAAGAATTTGATATTTTTCATAGAATTTCTCTGTGTAAGAAATTTTATCTTCATACAAGATTATATATTCTTGCTTATACATGAGAATATGAGTTTTGAGTTGACACTAATTCCTTTTCCCGGGTAAATAATAATAAAAGTCAATCGCATACTCACGTCTTACGCATTCCACTTCGGAGTTACCGGTGAAGCCCGGTGGGCAGCTGCATTGCTTGATGTGACTTCGCACTTTGCACTCGGCGTTTATGCCGCAGGACGCCCGCACGTCGCATGGGTCCAGGCATTGCCCGTTCAAGCAGACGTCGGATAAGTTGCACTCCTCGTCCGACTGACAGGATGCTGGAACAATATTTACATATACATTATTAAGTATAAAAATATCTAAATATTACTTGCGTTAATTGTAACAAAGGCCACGTCATTTTTCATATTCGTCTAAGCTGTTTTAGATTACTTACAGATTTTCCGTTCAACGATCGTCAAAAGAGTTACGAAGTTTCTCTCTCAACGATCGATCAAAATTATTATTTTATCGCACGAAGCGATCGTGATCGAATAAATCTACGACAATTCTCTACTCACGTCGACAAATGCCCTCGTAACAGTAGGTATTGACCGAGCAGTCGACGTGCGACGAGCACACCACCGGTTTCGGTCTGCATCCTATGCTCAGATTACCAGGATCGCCCTCGTAATCGGCGCGGCATTGGCAGTTCGCGACGTGATTGCTCGCGACGCAGTCCGCGTTTGGACCGCACCTGATGCGCGCACAAGCATCTGAAACGAGAAAGTGAATGATGATATAAACACCTGATACGTAAGAGTGAGCATCGGAAATGCCTCATGTAAGTATATTAAATTTTGCAATTTCGCGTAAATATATTAATATCCCTCGTGGAATATAAGTGAACAAACTGGATCGATGGATTCAGTACACATACCGAAACATTTCGGTACGTTGTTAATGTTGACACACTTGGCAGTCAGAGGACAGTCGGTATCGTGAAGGCACTCCACCGGCGGTTGGCAGCCGCTGTTGTAAGCATCCCCGACGGTGCCGGGTTGGCAGTGACACCTGAAGTATCCGCGCGAGTTTTCGCACAACGCGCCGGGCGCACAAGGTGCATTCGCACAATAGTCGATCAGTTCGCAGGCACGCGTCGGTTCTCCCGTGTAGCCGGGCTGGCACGTACAAACCTAAATCGCAAAGGGCACGCATCACCATGACGAAGACGAGCGCGCGAGGACGTGAAAATTGTACAACGACGACGAAAAAGATAATTACTTGAACGTGTTTCTCCGTTGTGCAAATAGCGTTCGTGCCGCAGGGATTGTGCGCCAGGCAAGCGATTCTACATCTGTGTAGGTCGCAGATCTTCTCCTGAGTACAGTCGTCGTTAGCCTCACATTCGACCGGTTGGCAGCCGAACTTGTCGTCTTTCGCATTACCGAAGAAGCCGGACTTGCAGGAACACGTGGCGAGGTGATTTTCAGCCTTGCACTCGCCGTTACGGCCGCAGAGTATTAAGTCGCACGCCTTGCGACACTCCGCCTGATTGATTGATGAGAAAACACGAGAACATTAATGCCCGGCAATGACGATGTAACATGTGACATACTTGTTAGCTATAATTTCCTACTCATCAATATGACTGTTATATAATGCATGTGTTATACATCAGTTACATCAGTTGTTTAATAGGAAATTACAACTAACGGATATGTTACGTGTTACATTGTGTTTGCTGTGTCGCGTGCCGATCGACTCTGAGATCGATAAAAAGAAGCATGTCCATTTGAAAATAAATCTAAATATTAGAGATATTATTGTAAGTATTAAAAAAATAATATTATAATCACATTAAAACGTCACGCGTATTAAAAGAGCTAAGAGCTTACCTGTCCGATATTATTCTTAACGCACTTTTCATCGTATGAGCAATCATTGTCTGTTATACAGCGTAATTCTTGAACACATATGTTATTATGGCAGTATTGATATTCTGGGCAGCTTGAGTTACTTCGGCAGGTAGGTTGGCAGAGACCGTTGATGCAGAGTTGATCGCCGATGCAGTCTCTCGTACTTCCACAGAGCGCTGCGAAGCACAACAGCAAGATGTAATCGCACAATTCGTAATCGTACGGAAGAGGGCAATCTTAATCGTTTATTTCGCTTACCTGTGCATATACCTCCGTTACACGCTGACCCGGTCGCACACTGCGAGTCACTCTTGCAATATTGAACAGGAGTACATCCGAGATTCGGGTCACCTGTACCGCCAGGCTGACAGGTGCACACAGCGCTATGATTGAGCGACGAACAATCGGCTCCGTGTCCGCAAACGTTCGAAAGCGAGCAGGGGTCGACGCATTTATGATCGAAGCATGCGTCCGATTGGCTGCAGTCGCTATGATAATTGCATTCCAGATGGATACATTCGGTCTAAAAATGGAAAATTCAGGTAAAGGTGAGCTAAATAAAATCATCTGAAATAGAATGGTATAAGAATGTGCGGAAGCAATTAGGGAATTTTATGATGTAAAGTTCGAATATAATGTGTTCGTTTATTTGAACCAAACTAAAACACCAACGAACATCAAAGATCTCCCTTTTTTAATTAATTTACGTTAAAAAATATAAATACATTTATATTAAATATTTTAATATAAAGTATTATGAACAGCATATTGGTACGATTATTGTCGGTTATTTTGAGTTGTAACATACGGATTATTATAATTGCACAAAATCTCGATTTTTGAGTATAAATTCGATACTCACTGCTGGATTTCCTGTGGTCTGTCCGGGACATCTACAGACCGGAACGTGGTCGCGAGCAAGGCACTCCGCGTTTCTGCCGCAAATGCCCGATGTATCGCACGGATTAGTGCATTTGTTGTCAATGCAGGCAGCCGAATTCGGGCAGTCTGAATCCGTAAAGCAATCGCCGGGCTGCTTACAGCCGGCCTTGAACGGATCCCCCACTAGACCATGCGGGCAAGTGCAGGCGAACGATCCCTCCGTATTGTGGCATCTGTATATTTTTATAGTATTTCGTTACAAACTCACAAAAATCATCGATAAGTTTCGTTATTAACCCCGAATTACTAATTACACTCACACGGCTGAAGAATGGCAAGGGTCCTGCAAGCACTCGTTCACATCACCGCAGATGTCGCCGACGAGAATGAAGCCAGGATAACATTTGCACACGCTGATATGCTCGACAGCCACGCAGTTGCCATATCCGCAGTTCACTTGATTGCAAGGACCTGCCGAGCGGAAGATTAAAGATTCAGCAAATGTTGCACAACGTTTTCGAACATATCATTAACATATGATTAAGCGTTTCGCTGAATAATAACGCGATAACTTACTGCTGCACTTATTGGTTTCCTGATTGCAGTATTTGTCCGTCGGACAGTCGCTGTTGGAAAGGCACTCCACTTTGAAGCAACCCGAAGCATCGCCGATGTAACCAGGTTGGCACTGGCAACCGGCCACGTGATCCAAGACCGAGCAAATCGTGTTCAATCCGCAATCAACCGAGGAGCACGGATCCGAACAGTTGTGATGAATGCAGGCCTGCGAGTCCGGACAGTCCGTGTGCGCGGTGCATTGATGCGGAAGCACGCAGCCCGTTCCCACGGGATCGCCCGCAGTGCCCAGGGGACATGTGCATCGATAAGATCCGTGAAGATTAATACAATCCGCGCTCGGGTGGCAGGGTTGATCTTCACATTCGTTGATATCCAGGCAGTGCTCCGGACCAGCGATAAATCCGTGGCTACATCTGAAGACAGATTGAAAAAATTGCAATTCACGCGCGCGCATAGTATACATCTGTCTGAAAATCAATTTTGAAAATTACGAAATTACGCACAAACTCGTCGTTTCCTTTTTTCTCATCGAATAAGCAGAATAATACAAGTAACGCGAAATTGAATAGCGCGGATGAAGAGATGACGGGACTGAAAAGAGAAAATCGTACCTGCATTTGTTGTTAATGCAGACTTCGTCGCGTTTGCAGCCGACGTCGGAGGTACAACCCGCTTCGCACGTTCCATCGATGCACAGCTCGCCGGGCAGGCAGTTGCTGTCGCTGTAACAGATCTTCACGCAGATGCCGTTTTTGCAACGCTCGCCTTGCGCGCAGTTGTTCTGTTCCGAACATTGGCATTGGCACAGTCCGGAGACGCACAGGTGTTGGCTGGGACAGTCTTGCGGAGTTTCACACGAGCTCGGAATTCGCACGCAACCTTGCTCCGGAGTAGGATTACCGTGGAAGCCGAGAGGACAAGTGCAGGTGATCGCGTGATTTGCACAACTGCAAATCGCATTCGGTCCACAGACGTCCTTCCTGCTGCAGGGATCTGTGAAGACACGAGATTTGTCTCGTAATACTTAATTTACTTCTTACTCACCCCGCGTAGAAAAACGGTGAAATAAATATTACGTATCTTGTCTCATTAATTTGTCAGTAAAGAATATATAATTTCTTAGTCTCACTCTCTCTCTTATACGGTATATAATAGTATTTAATTTACGCACACCATCAAGTTTCTACAAGGGATAAAATAAGTTGACACAACAAGATACGTGGTTGATTTAATGAAACGCCGATGCCACGGAGTGCCACAAATATCTACGTTTGATTCAACTGTATTTATCATCGGTTTCAATCAAATTTATTGTGTTGAAAGAACAATATATACCGTCTTCTGTTTCGGACCGCCGAATATCTATATCGAGTTAATCTGAAAATCAAAGTTACACAAGATAATTGGCGACGAACCTTGACATTTGCTGTTGATGCACGATTCGATAGGGGGACAATTTTTGTTGCTGCGGCAACCAAGGATACATCCTCCGCTCACACACGCCTGGTCGAATTGACACTGAGAATGCGTGATACAGGATATCATGCACTTGCTGTTAATACACTTCTCTCCGTCCGAGCAGTCGGCGACTGACCGGCACACAGCTGAAAAAGAAAGATACTCTTTGTTCAGTAACTGAAAATTTCTCAATATAACGAGACAAGAATGAAAGTTGCTTCCTCTGTTTCATCGTATTCTAACATTATAAAAATATTTACACATGGACCAAAAATCGTTACAATCAATAATAAATGAAACCAATCAGTAAAAAAATCACTAAAAATTAGAGAAAAATTATTAAAAAATTAATCAATAAAAAGAATCATCAGAACATAAATTTTTGCGTCTTGCCGGTTATTGCTTGAGCGAGCCCGTATTAATAACATGTTGGGAGTATCGGCCAATTCTGGGAAGACCTAACATGCTATCTTTGCAACAAAGAAAAGAATGATTTCTGATTTTCTTCTCATACTTAATCTCTTCAACCGTAATATTGATTGTTCACATATATTAAAATCCACACAACTCAATATTGTATATCCACCTTATTCGTGATCTCACTTCTACCTAATGTTCTTTCATAGTCAAATTCTTTCAAATTTTTACATAACTTCCTTGTTTTGTATTGTCTTCATCAGCATAAAGAAAATATCTAAATATCTCTTTTGTTTGTAATGACATGAAAAATGTGTTTAGGACGCAATTTGAATGGTTTCGAAGGAGGAACCGTGGAAGGGAAATTTTTCTCCGATTTTAAGTCTCCATATTTATATATTTAAGATATTTAAGTGTTCCCCTTATCTTGTATACCTAATTATGTATGCTAAAGGATATTCCTATGAATAAAGATTATTATTATTATTATTATTACCTCTGCATTGTCCATCGAGGCACACGCTGTCCTCGCACTCGGCGTCCAGCGTGCAGTAATTCGTCGCCCTCACGCAGCCGTGCTCCGCGCCCTTCGACGACGGCACGAACCTGTGGATGCACCTGCAACTCGGCTGGCCGTTGACGATCTCGCAGAGCGCGTTGAGCCCGCATGCGTCCTCGCAGGGATTCACACAGCGGTGTTCATGGCAGACCGAGTGCACCGGGCAGTCCTTCGGCCCGGTGCAGTAGCCCTCCGGTTGACAGCCGTTCACGTAGGGATCGCCCACGTGATTCGGCGGGCATTTGCAGACAGGGTTGTTGGTCGGACCGACGACGCAGAGCGCGGTCGGATGGCAGGAGTCCGAACGGCAGGCCTCCACGGCGACGCACTCCACGTCGGGCACTGGGTTCGGTCTCAAGCCCGGTGGACACTGGCAGATCGCCCGGTGGTCGTCCGCGATGCAGACCGCGTTAACGCCGCAGGCGTTCTCGTCGCAGGCGTCGTAACAGGTGTGCGTCAGTCGGTTGCAGAGCTGGGCCGGCGGGCAGTCGATGTTGTAGACGCAGGGCACCGCGCGGCAGCCGGACGCCACGTCGTTCGGGTCGCCGGCGTAGAGCCCGGGCGGGCACTCGCAGTTCGCTACGTGGTTGTTGACGACGCAGAGAGCGTTAGGGCCGCAGGAGACGAAGTCGCAGACCTGCTGGCAGGCGAGCGGGCCGTCCGAGGTGCCGCGGCACGTCTGGTCCTCCGGACACTCGCTGTCGGTTGAGCAGCGGTTCTCGCGCGGACTGTGACAGCCGCGACGGTCGTCCGGATTGCCGGTGTAACCCGGCAGACATTCGCACCGGCCACGGTGGTTCTCCGCTACGCAGCGCGAGTTCACCGTGCAGGTGAAGCCGCTGCAGAGCGGCAGGCACTTGAGCACGCCGAGGGCGTCCGGTCGGCAACCCTCGCTGGAGCGGCAGTCATCGTCACTGATGCAGTCGGGCACGGATGGTTTCTCGCAGGACGACTGCACCGGGTTCCATTCGTAGCCGTCTTGGCACTTGCAGGTCGCGTGACCCGGCGAGCCGACGTCGGGCTCGCACTTCTGATAAGCGCCGCACACCACTTTGCCGCAGGGGTTTACACAGTCGCGCAAACCGCCGTCCAGCGCGATGCAGAAGAAGCCGGCTTGGCAGTCTGAGTCGTGGGCGCAGCTGGGGATCACCGACTTGGACGGTTGGCAACCCTCCAGCAAGTTGCTCGGATTACCCTGGTAGCCGTCGACACACAGGCAAGAGGACACGTGGTGCTGCGTGACGCACAGCGCGTTGGGCCCGCACTGCAGCTTGCCGCAGGCGTCCACGCACTTGCGAACGCCCTTGCCGACCTGGAAGCAGATCTCCTGCGGCTCGCACTCGAGGTCGTTGGAGCAGCGGCCGTGCAAGTGGCAGCCTTTGCGCTGATCGTTGGGGTTGCCGCTGTAGCCCGGCGGGCACACGCACGCTCCGTCCTGGCAGACGGATCTGGGGCCGCACTTGATGTCGCTGCACTGGTTCACGCACTTGTGATTCACGCAGGTGTAGTCGAACGGACAGGGCACGGCCTCGCTGCAGACGCAGCTCGACGGCTCGGCGCAAGGGACTACCTGCACTTGCTGGCAGCCGACGAAGGGATTGCCGAAGAAGCTGTCCTTGCAGTGGCAGTCGTAGCTGCCGATCGTGTTGATGCACACCGCGTTGCTGCCGCACGCGTCCCCGTTGCACTCGTTGATGTCTGGCAAAAGGGAGACACGTTAGTTGAAATTGCGACCTGAGACGAGATTCTATGATATTTCAGGTTTTATGTTGGTTGAAAGAAAGTAACGTTTCGTTGAAGAAGAAGAATTTGCCGCGAAATTGATGGCGAGAATTGGCGACGACGAGTGAGTAAGATTAACCGTGCTAACCGAAACATTGGATGTACGGATTGCCAGCGAAGCCGGGTGGACAGAGGCACTCGACAGCATTGGGGCCTGCGTTGCAGTGCGCGTCTCTTCCGCACAATCCTTTAGAGCAGTCAGATTTCTGCTGGATGCCGCAACCGTGATAAGGATTTCCACTGGTGCCCGGGTTGCAGATACACTTCGATTCCTGGAGACCGTACTCGCAGTGCGCGTTCTTGCCGCAAGCTGGATCGCAGCGTGGTGGCTGAATGGCTGTGGAGACAATCGTTTTTATAATAAAGAGAAATAATGCGCGTCTACCCCTCTCCATGCTTTCTTACCCTTTAACCTATTCTGTCATATCACTTTTAAACTCTTAAATATTAACAAAAAAGAACGATAAAAAGGAACGGCATAAACCGCTCTGTTTCTCCTAGTTATTAAGCTCGTCGCACTTACGTGGCATACAAAGCAGATCTGGATTGCCGACGAAGTACGGATTGCACACGCATTTGTTCGTTAAAGGATCGCACATGGCTCCAATGCCACAAACCACCCCCTCACAGCGCCGCTTGCAACGCCCGCTGATGCACACGCTTGGTTCCGCGCATGGGATTTCAGGTGAGCACACGTCCGGAACGCATTGTCCACCGGGGAAAGGATTCCCCATGAAACCTTCGATGCATTTGCAAGTCGGTCCGTCGTAACTTACGATACACTGAGCCCCGGTGCCGCAAACGAAACCGTCACACTCTGTAAGAAAACAAAATTTTATGCAAAAAAAATAAAATTACATTTCTTCGTCAGATATCTACATGATAACCGGATAACCGGATAACAGGATAAAAAATAAAATATCTCGGAAAGTTTTCACATTTTTTTTATAATCTTAGTACTTTTATACACATAATGAGCGCGGGAATCGATTTATATTAAAAAAGAATTGATTCCATTGAAAAGAAAGCAAAAAATTATCTTCAGATTTTTTAAGCTGATCCGGCTGGAAAAAAAATGCGTTATAATATATATAATTTCTGTTCGATAATTTTTCTTCTTACTCTCACAGCTCCTAAGGTGTATTCAAGGTGATGATAGTTATTACGTCACCCTTGTTTCACAATACATTCAGAGCAGTTTTTTTTGCAAAAGAAAGGTCACTCTATCATCGGAAGATCATGCAATTATTCAGACATTGCTAAATTTACAAGGTACACGTAAGATCTTGCACTCACGTGAGACACATTCGTTGTTCTTGCCCTCCGTGAATCCTATCACACACCTGCACCAAGCGGCGTGCTTATCAGGCTCGCAGTATGCGTTCGGGCCGCATGGTATGTTGTCGCAAGGATTGACGCAACTTCCGTGAACGCACGCCAGGTAGTTTTCACAATCGTCGTTCGACGAGCATTCACTCTTGCCAGTCGCGACTCCTGTGCAGCCGGCGCCGTAAGGATCGCCGATCATGCCCTTTGGACACTCGCACACGTGATCACCTTTCGTGTTGATGCAATACGCACCGTGCCCGCAAGGGTTGTTCGCACATTCGTTCACGTCGATGCAACCGTGCTGTGGGTCGCCCTCGAAGCCAGCCTCGCACATGCATCGAGGCGGGTCGCTTGGCGTGCATCTCGCGTTGATGCCGCATGGGAAACGGTCGCAGGGATCTATGTGACAATAGAAATATATTATACAACGTGTGAGAGCTATTCTTATTGTTAGATGGAGTCGTTAATTTAATTCCACGTCCATCGCGTTGGAATCATCGCGATTATCATGAGAGAAAATGATTACGAGAAACGATACCGAGTGACTGAAAATCGTTATCTCTCGTTTTTTACGACTCCGATATAATATCATATTGACACAAAAGTCTTTTCCCACAAACGCTGAGCGAGTGTTAGTATGAACAAAGCAGTTTGTTTTTTTCATAGAAATATGCTGGCACACATACACACACACGCACGCCCACACGCACGCACAAATGTGAGACGAGACTCCAACCTGACAATACGAGTAAAATTTCAAGACTTACTCTTGCAGAGATTTCCTTCTAAGGGATCCGTGTAGAATGGCGGTGGGCAGACGCATTCGCCCGGTTGCACGCACTTCTCGTTGGCCTTACACTCGTTGTCATTGGTGCATCTCTTCTGCGCGGGCGAACAGAGACCGTTGTACGGGTCGCCGCCGTATCCGTGCGGGCACACGCACTGATGCGCACCTGGTAGATTGATGCACTCGGCGCCGTAACCGCATACTTGATGTCCCACGGTGCATTCGTTTATGTCTGTGCAAAAATTAACAATCGTTATCGGACTCCTCTTGACGACCGCCGCCAATTAAACACACGTTCGTCTCAGAATTGCTCCATTTTGCTATTTTTCAGCATATTTTTTATTATTTCGTTTCATTTCAAACTTGTGAGTGTTTCTATTCTTGTAAGAGAAAACGCTCATGAAATAAGTCGGAAAATTCACCTTCACAGGAACCGTCGGATTTGGTCGTGTAACCCTTGGGACAGGCGCAGTAGCTCACGCCACCCGCAATCGTTATGCACTCGGCACCACTTGGACATTTTTCACCCTTCGAACAGCCCGCCAACATGCACTTGCCATTGACGATCTTATACGGCGGCTGGCACTGGCACTCGATGCTGTTGCATTCTGTAAATTTTCCAATACTCATTTTAGATACTTTTTACATCATAATTACTAGACATGATGCCTCAAATATCATGAACGAGGAATATTATATAAAATTTTAATTTTGTCATAAATGCAACTGTGTATCTTTTTCCATATTACAAGATATATGTTATCATTATATGCGTTATATTCTTATGATAGTAAAAATTTAAAGAGATAATAGGATAATATAATAAGATAAAGTAAATAATAAGACGTAGAAAATTCGGACGTGTTGATAAACGTGACAGCTGATATCACGGAAAATATCGAGGGAAGAAGAAGAAACGTACCTTCGCAAAGTGAGAAGGGATTCCCGTTGAAACCAGGCGGACACTGACACTCGTAGCTACCGGGGAGATTCTTACAAATCGCGTTGACGCCGCATGCGGGCTTCTCCCTGAGCTCCATGCACTCGTTGATGTCTCTGCATTTGCCGGTCTCATGGTCGCGGGTGTAACCGCGCTGACAGATGCACACACTGCTGCCCACGAATTCGTCCTTGATGCACTGCTCTCCAGCCGGACAAGGTGCACTGGGACCGCACACGTGAGGTGCCTTAGACTCTTGGCAACCACCGCTGTAAGGATCGCCGGTCATGCCGCTGGGACACTGGCACGAGAAGGAGCCCGGCTCGTTGTTGCAAATTGCACCCGGAGGGCACGGATTGATCGCGCACTCGTCGATGTCTCGACAACCGTCCTTCACACCTGGTTTCCCGGTGTAACCGTTGCTGCAGAGGCATGTCGCCAAGTCGTTCAGCAACATGCAGTGCGCGTTGGGCCCGCAGGATAGATCTTCGCATGGATCTGCGATCAGACCAAAAAGTTATTAGAGATATTTTGTATTAAGCGTGTAAATCAATTCGATACTTTCGTTGACAGAAATCGAGATTTATTTATCAATGGAAGGTGTGCAATTTTAATTATCGAAATAATCTCAGCTATTATCGATGATGATCTCCCAGGTAGCACAGTTAGTTTCATTAGTTTTAGTATATCTATAAATATCTCTAAACTCCGAAGGATTCGATATTGATTAAATTTATTAGTACTCGATACTGATTAAAACTAAGGTAACTATTGCTGATGTTCCTTTTGAATTTTGTCTGGTTCGTGAAACAGTAATCATACGTACGTCTGCAATCATTCCCGACGTTGGGCTCGGGACACAGGCATCTCTTCTGTGGATCGCAAATCGCATTTCCTGGACAGTCGTCGTCAATTTCACATCTAACAATTGCAACGCACTTGATGTAAGGATCGGGGGCCGGTATGGTTTCTTCCGGACAAGTGCAAGCGTAAGAACCCTCGGTGTTGGTGCATGTCGCTCCGTGACCGCAAGAATCATGTCTAGCGCACTCGTCGATATCTGTATTAATTTCAAAAATATATAATCAAAACGTTTGTATTCGTTCGAGACAGACGCTCTAAAATTAGAAATTATTAGTGACCAATAACGATAATTTATAATAATAATAATTTATATCTCGTTTGACTTACCTATACATTGTTTGAAGGCATTTCCTGAAAATCCAGATTTACATTGGCAACTGAAATCGCCAGGTGTATTCGTGCAGATAGCATTTCTGCCGCATCTTCCAGAAGGTCCATTTATCGCGTCGCATTCGTTTATATCTACAGGTAAAGAAAACGAAAAAAAAAATCACAGTATTAATAAATTTTGTTTCTATGAGTGGAGAAAACAAAGAAGAACAATCATATTATTAATAAAATTTCACATACACAGAGAAAAATGTTTCTTTGAATTTAATATTAATTGGAATTAATACGTATTTGTTCGACTTGGATTTATTGAATATGAACAACTTTATTTAATACTAAATATAATTTTGTTCGAATGATAATACTGTTGTTTCATTAGAATCATATTGTTTGATAAAGAAAAAAACAGTATTATTAAAAAAAAATAATATTTGGTTTTCAATGAAAAAAATTATTTCATTACATATTAAATATTGTTCCTCGCTGTGTGTCAAAGAAATTCCTAATTTTTTTAATATAAGGTTACTTCTTTTAAGTAATTTATTATGATACGATTGTGACCATTGTAATATTTGGATGAAAAATAAAAGAAATATAATATATTTGACGTAAAAATATTTATCGTTTGAAAAACAAAATAATCCTATTTGTTGAATCAAACATTCGTTTGCTCTATTCCAAAAGACAAATTTGCTTCAATTGAACAAATTTTATTAAATCCAAAGAAATCTTCTTCTCTGTATGTACTTCTATGTAAACTATGTACTTCTATGAAACTTCTGCATAAAGAATATACAAAAGTGTAATTACTTAATTATCGTAAAAATATCAGCTTACTCACCGACACATCCGGCCGCTATATCGTTCGGATTGAAGGTCCAGCCATCTTCGCAGATGCAATAAGCCTCGTGACCGTCGGCCTTGCAGAAGGCATGATCGCCACAAGTAACCTCGTCGCACGGTGCTTTAAAATAAGAAAGAAATTATGTATTAAAAATCGCATTCTCCTCGAGAAGTCTCCTCGAGGAAAATAAGGAAAAATTACGATCGTGAAAAAACAGCTAAAGGAAACGAGTTATGTTATAAAGACAATCTATCGGTTACCTTTACACTGTACGTGAGGCGGAGTACCGACGAAACCGGACTCGCACTCGCAGTGGTAACTTCCCCTGGTATTCGAGCAGATCGACGCAGGCCCGCAGGGATTAGTGAGGCACTCGTCCAGATCCACGCACTCGGCACCGACGGCTTTGAAGCCATCCTTGCAGAAGCACTGCCCTTCGATGCACTCAGCATTGTTGACGCAATCGAAATTCGACTTGCAAAGCGTCGTAACGTCGGTCTGCGGACGGTACAACAGGCGACAACGTTTTACCTTATTTAAATTCTCGTCGCGCCCGAAGACACAGAGACATTGTGTTCGGAAATGGGAACCGGTTTTCCACCGTGCCGAAGCGCGTATGACTGGACGCGCAAATAAGAAGCACGAGTCGCGTTAAATGGAGCCGTGAGTCAGTTTTGTGGCTTCACAGACGACGAAAAGAGTGTAACTTCGGTTAGGAGGAGGTAAACGACGTGAAACCGGTTCGCGTCTGTTATTCCTTACGCGCACGACAATGCCGTGCATTTTCTTTTTTTTTTCCGTTATCCCCGTAAATCACAGGATGCCTCAGAGATATTGGTGAGACACGGCGAGCATCTGTTTACGAGAGACGTTCCCGAGATATTTCGCGCGTTACGAATCTTGTTTGTTGCACACGGATGATTCGGTGCCGAATGGAACGGGTTTGCTGAATTATTACCTGATCGCAAGCAACTGTCGGGTTGGGGCTGGCACTGTAACCCGGTGGACAGAGGCAATTGTAACCGGGATCGGCGTTCTTGCAAATCGCATTTCTGCCGCAAGGATTCTCCAGAGCCGTGCACTCGTCGATGTCTGGAACGTGAAATCAACAATGACAGAGAGAGAGAGAGTGAGAGAGAGGGAGAATCTCACGGAGTTTGGAAAATAAGAGAGGTAAGAAGTCATCCTTGAGACATTTTCGGGTCATCGTGAGCGTACGAGAATTTAACGCTCTAATGCGGTAGAAACTGCAAGTACTTTACAGTTCTGTGAGCAAAAAATAGCCGATTATCGGTGGAATAAAAATCCGTTTAATAAATACGAAAATATGTCAAAGTCGCATACAAAAGAGAAAGATTGGTCGAATTAATGTGACGTGACATAATTAAGCGCGTTTTAATGAAAGTGAACCGAATTTCTAGTTCTAACACAGGAAGAAAAAGTGCTATTCAAATGAACATTTGCTAAAGATTATTGGAGTAATTATTTTACTTGGGTCAAGTCAATATTACTCGAAACTTCGCACTGTTTTCTTCCAGTGTGAGAACCGAATTTAATTCATGAGAATCACGTCAACCAATCCTTTTTTTCGCGCATCAATGTGAAGACTCTGTGGGCCTTAGAACTTCAGCTCGTCGAGCTCATACGATACGGGAGTGTATCCCGACATAAAGACTATATTATCGATTAACGATTGATATCATCGAATGAAGGAAGGAAGTGTCGAATGAGCTAACCGCTGCACTCCTTGAAAGGGTCGCCGGTGTAATCCGCCTTGCAGCTGCAGACGAAGCTGCCGATTGTGTCGCTGCATTCAGCGTTCTCGCCGCAGGGATTTCGCTTGCATTCGTTCACGTCTGTTAATCAACATGGTTAATCGCAATGTGAGTATTATTAATCATTAGCCGTTATCGATGACGAAAGTAGTGGCGTGCAATGACAGAGAGAGAGAGAGAGAGAGAGAGAGCATTATTGTTGTTGTGACTGACTTTCGCAGAGAGTTAGTCCTTGGCCGACGAAACCCGGTGGGCAAATGCACTTGTACGAGCCCGGGACGTTGATGCACCTCGCGTTGGCCGCGCAAGCGTCCGCGCCGCTGCATTCGTTCACGTCGATGCAGCCGTGCGTGGGATCCATTTGATAACCGGCATGGCATTTACACCCGAAGCCGCCCTCGGTGTTCACGCATTCCGAGTCAACGCCGCACGGCGAACCCACCTCGCACTCGTTTATATCTGTTAGTGATGCTCGGTTAGTCTACACTGCGGACGACAGCGCCGCATTCGCATAGCACGATGGTCTTTTTTCACCCGATGAATGATCGAAGACGTCATTGAAACATGATTGACAGATGATTTGTTTACGTTTGTTAAGCGTGCTGTGCGATCGTCGTGAGAAACGACGGTGAAACGATTCTCCGTTACCGAAGCGTGATAATTAATGACGTTACGCGAGATTCACTCGCGAGACTTCACCCCTTACTTACCGCACCGTCGATGGGGTCGACGGGACGTTTCACGTTTTCGGCTAGAACTCGGTGTGCGTGTCGCGGAAAATAAATTCCAACGTAATCGGTACGTAAGGATGCGCGGATGAAAAATGATCCCGAGGCACACTCACCGTGACAACCTGTCCACGGATCGCCGTCCATTCCGTCGGGACAGGAGCACCGGAAGCTACCGTGCACATTCGTGCAGAGAGCGGAACGTCCGCAAGGGCTTCTCAGACACTCGTCGACGTCCCTGCACTCCTCCTCCGGGCTGCCGTCGTATCCCGCAGGACACTCGCATTTATGAGCGCCTGGTAAGTTCACGCACAGCGCGTCCCTGCCGCAAGCATCTTCGTATTCGCACTCGTTGATGTCGACACACTGTTTGGATAAATCGAAACAGTTAAATCCCGGAGCTGACATTGGCTGAAACGAGTTCGCCACTCTCGGAGGTCAATGGACGAAATTCAGTTCGAAGGATTTCGGAAAATCGAAAACCAGGCGAAATATGCATTTTACTCGCACTATAGTTTCGAACGCGGATTGAATAAATTCACATAAAATTTATGTTATTATTATCGATATCCTTATTTAAATTAATTTATCGTTAAATGACCGACGTTATATTTATATTTATGTACTTTATATTTATTATATTAGTTATACTTTATATTTTATAGTTATACTTTATAGTTTTACTTTATATTTATTATATTAGTTATATTTATGTACTTTTATCGAAACGTTCGCGTTGGTATATGCTGTGTGTAATTAGCCCGCATCCTCCGAGAGTTCATCGTAACGAACGATAATTATTGAGATTAACATCTCCATGACAGATACCAAAAAAGACATTTCCAGGACAAGGTGATTGGCTTTATATATAGGCGTTCAGGCGTGTTATTATCCGCTTTAAACTCCGCAACGTTATCGTGCTCTCTCGATCGTTTTTTTTCTTCTTTTACTTCGCGTTCCTGTTTTCATCGATGTACTCACACTGTCGTACGGGTCTCCCGTGAATCCGTCTTGACACGTGCAGGTGTAATTGCCAGGTATGTTGTGGCACACGGTATTGTCGCCGCATGCGCCTGGTATTGTGCACTCGTTCACATCCTCGCAGTGCACCTCGCCGTCGCCAATATAACCAGGTTTGCATTTACACAAGAAGTTCGATGGGAGGTTGCAACACTCGGCGTTCTCGACGCAACGGCCGGCGAGCGCCGGATCGTCGCATTCGTTGATGTCTGTAAATACGATTTGACAAGTGAGCGGATGAATCGGGGCGAACTAAATCGCGCGATGATCGATCATTTCAAGCGCGAATGAAATTACCTTCGCAGTGGAAGCCGTCGCCTCGATATCCGGGAAAACAGGAACATTGAAAGCTGCCGAGAGTATTTGTACAGTGGGCAAATATATCACAGGGCCGATATTTACACTCGTTCTCATCTGTAAGTTTGTAGTTATTGTCAGTTACAAACAACTCGACGGGTCATTTCACACGTATGTGCGTATGTACAGCCTATTATTTTCTACTCCTTGTTAGAACAGAGCCGAGTTGAACGATACGATAGTGAGGGTAGACACCCTTCCCACTTTGCTATCACTATTATTTGCCAATCAGATTGCTTTTAAACGGTTACTATTTTAAGCGACTCAAGTGTATTCGTTTATGTCTTGATTATATCAGTTATGTAATGATACGCTACGTATATAATTGAGCTCATAATTTATCCAAATCATAGAACATATGCATTGAATGGGCATTTAATAACTATACATGAATATACATGAAATATACATGAATACTTGCGTGCAATAATAACTAGTAATTGTATACAAACCTGGAACTTGACAATTACATCCCCCAAACCCATCGTTACAGTGACAGACTGAATCCAGACAAACACCGTTTTGACATTTGGTGCCGTCTTTTGTACAATCGTCTGAAAACGAAATTTTTCACAAGTTACACCGTTTGGTTTTACTAAAGATGAGAGAGAGAGAGAGAGAGAGAGTCGAGTAAAAAATAAAAAAATGCATTTCATAAATTTACCGTTAATTTCTGTACAATGGAGAAACGGTTCTCGGCGGGTTCATTAAAATTCTCACAACATGAAATTTTATCGTTCCCCCTCGCAATACAAACGGAAACTTGAATGCACTCATGCGAATAAATACCTGATGATTTTATTCGAGCGGCGTCAACGCGACGGGGCAATATACATATTCAAGAGGAAACATCCCGCACGGAGCACGAGCCATTTTTGCCGGGGCATTAAGTAATCTTATCCCAAGAGGGAAAGAACGCGGGGATAAATTGCGAGTCATCGGCTAATCGTGCAATTTTCTCCGGTCGGGCTAATCAGCGGCCGAGAACACAGTGGAGTTTTTCTCACAAGCCGCGACGAGCCGATACGTTCGGTGGATTCAAGTAACGCGATCCCGCTCATCGACGCGGACCGGTACGTCAATTACGCCTCTATCCGGAGATGATAGCGACCGTGCGAGGAGGAGACGGGGAAAAAAGAAGAAGAAACGGGAATAAAAATAAATCTCCGCAGCTAATTACGACGTGGGCGTGACTCGGTACAATGTGTATAATGACGCAGGCGGAGATTCTCCTAATTGACGCGACGGGGAGACGCGCGTCGACGTCGGTGTGAGTGCGTTTCTGCGGTTTACGCGATGTTAGGGAAATTACTTAGTCGTCATAATGACATCGAGGACGACGGAATGACACAAGACAGGAGAGATGTTAACGATAGTGCGTCGCATCGTGCGACAATGTCCTTTCCTTCCCCGGCAAACTGCGCTTGCGGTCGGTCTCGGAATGATGACACCGCACTAGCGTTATTCCGATGAACTCGCTCGTCTTCCCGCAGGAGACTCACCTGTGCACTTCAACTTGCCGCGCTGCTCATCCGCGCCCTGATAACAGTCGACGCGCTGATCGCAAAGTTTCGAGAGCTCCAGCAGCTGCAAAACGTCTGTCGACTCGTTCACTTGGCAGCCGAAGTAGCCGTCCTCGAGGTTCAAGAAGAATACTTCTCGCCTCAATCCATGGCCGAGTCCGTTGCGAGATTCGGCCTGGAATATTGTCGCGTGCATTTTAGCCTTTCGAAAGTCAAGCGCGCTTGTTGAGTACATAGAGTAGAAGGTTTCTTTGGATTTAGTGTTATTTACTTATTCTCCATCCATGCCTTTCGGTGGCTTTCAATTTGTACATGCGTTTTTCTACAATTCAAATTCTAGGATTGTGTAACTAATCCAACCTACTACTTTCTGTCCCTAAACTAAATTATATTTTCCCGTCTAATCTTTTTAATTCTAATTCAACCTCCTTCCACCGTGTGATTGGCATATATTTTTACAACGTTATTATTGGGATAATAATATTAATGATGTTGCGATTTTAATTACAATAATAACAAAATATAAATTATTATATTTCTCCCTAATTTATCTTATCTTCGGTGTGACTCATAATTTTGATTTTAATTTAAAAACTGACGAACTAAATTCTTTAGAATTAGTTTAATGTTTGTTTGACCTGAGTTTAATATAATTTTGCTTGAATGGAAATGTTGTGGTTCCATTAGAGATAACCATGTTGTTTGATAGAAAAAATAGTATTATTTAGAAAAAATAATATATTTGGTTTTCAATAAAAAAAATGTATTGCATTATACATTAAATATTGTTCCCCACTGAAACGCAAAGAAGTACTTCAATACTTTTTTAATATAGTTCCAAATAATTTATTATTTATGGTAACCATTGTAATGTTTAGATGAAAGTATAATAGGAATATAAAGATATTTATTATTTGAGAGACCAGACATTCTTGTTTGTTAAATCAAACAATCGTTTGTTTGCTCCACTTCAAAGGACAAATTTGTTCCAATTTAAAAAATATTAATAAATCCAAAGAAATCTTTTCCTCTTACATAACATAAAGTAAACCTTCTATTTTTATCCGCGATAAGTTTTTATTTTTATTTCCAATCAGTTTTTTAATAATATTCGCGAAAAATAAATCTCTCTCCGCGAAGGAATCGACATTTTCGAGCGAGCGTCTGCTTACCGGATGCGAAGATAGAAGTATCCACGCCAGCAACGGCCAAAGATGTTTCATCTTTGCTGTAAAAAAAAGAGAAGGACACATCGAAATTAGTCATATCGTAATGACAGATCGTGCGAATACTATTTGTTAATAACGGGCCATTTTTAGCGGTGACCAAAGTCACGCAAACACGCACACACACGCGCGCACATACGCGCGCTTGTGTCATCCTTCAACACACGGAGTGTCGCGGAAGAAATTTATATAAATTCCTAAACACATACGTAAAAGCCCGATGACTTCACGCAAGAATCACCTGTGGTCATTGCATCATCGCAAATTCACAAGTGGTTTCGCAAAAACGATACCACCTCCTCGCTTCACAGTCCCCTAGACGCCCTGGGAACGATTTTTCGCGATCGCGCTGCATCCGGAGATACGAGAGTGAGGGACAAGACGAGAGAGAAAGAGAGAGAGAGAGAGAGAGAGAGAGAGGCAATCGACATTCTCCGCGATGTTCACGGTGTATAAATCACGAAGGAAAGCACCGTGGTCGGTAGGAAATCATCGGAAAATCTAGCGTGGATACAAAACCGCAAGAAACCGTCGGACCGTTTTTCAGTCGCGATGGGTAAACCAACACTGCTCGAACACCTGTTCGCCAGAACAAACCGCCAGTCCGCCAACCGCTCCGGCGTGCGGCTAATTCACGAATGTGCGCGCGAGGAAGTCAATTGATCCGCCAATCCCGACACGTGTAATGCCAATTTTAGCGTGCGGTGAAGTATACTCATACATTTCCTATTATCTTTACTTTCCATTGTTATTAAAAAATCGAATCCTCCATACGCACATTGTATTCACATTTAAAATCAGAGTAACGATTCTAACCCTCAGGCACGCTCGGCAAATCTGTAGAGTCTCTGGCGCATTCGACTCAACATCGTGGGAGAACGCAGCGGGCGATCGGTTGTTTCTTTCTCTCTCTCTCTCTCCGCTCCAGAAACGCGGAAATCGGGATCCTCGAATTCCCGGGCCGTCGCTGAGGCCGTTTTCCTTTTATTGCTCGCCTCGCCCGATTCTTCCGACGAGCGTCGAACTGTAAATGCAATTTTCGCGAGACAACTCCGCTGTACAGGCATCCGCGTCCAAGAGCCGTCTCGCGTTCTTCCAGGCACCGCGGACGGTCGTCGCAGACGCGAACAGAAACGCACGAACGAGTGCGCGCACACGCATACACACACACGCAACAGGTAACACAATAAGTTAGAGCGCCGGCGATCAAACTGGCACGGTGAAATGTTAACGACTGCACGCGGCTAAGCTCATAGGGAAGGATCGGAGGGCGAGGGGGAGGAGGAGGGCAGGAAGGACGTGTGTGTTCGCCAAGTCGGATGAAATGGAGGAAGAGAAGCGGAAAGTGCGAGGAAGAACGACCAGGAGGATAGGAGAGGAAAGAAGAAGCGGAGGAACGTAATAAAGGAGGGCGTGCGAGTGCGATGCACCTGTTGCCCTCCTGCCCCTCCAACCACCTTGCGTCGTCGCCGAGTCGCCCCTCCGCCGCGTACCCCCTATCTCGTCAAGACGTACAAACTCACTCACAGCTGCGAGTCGGCTAGCAGGGGGAATTCATGGAGTCCCTCGTTTTAATTTTGTCGACACGGAAGCAGGCCACCCCACCGGGCGGACTCATTTTTTTCGGGCCGGTTTGCCGGACCGCTTCCTCAATTCCACGCTCACAGAGCCCTTATGCATTATGTATACGCGTACGTGCGCGGGGAGTGTGTCATAACCACGATACCTTTATCAGACGGTACTCAGGATTCAGGATTCAGATTCTAAGACCGGAAATACCGGGGTTACTGTAGCTTCCGAATTGTACGTAAATCAAAGTTGGCCAATATCGCGCAGAGGTGCCACAGACCAAGAATTATTCAAGTACACGTACCGATCTTTGATCGAAAGCATAATTAACCCCCTATTCGTATCCAAGCAAACCGTCATTGGGCTATCTGGATCAACTTTTTTTCTGTTAAATAAATAACTACAGATATACATTGACCAGTAATTCGAGGTATTTACGAACCTATAGTTATCTCACACGTGTTAATTGACGTCGACGAAAGCCCGATTGAACGTTTCAAGAGTCAACGAAATCAATATTTTGGTCTCTTTTCGCTATTCTCATTTTCTATATTATTGTTCATTTTTTCTTTGCTTGTAGCGACCAGTAAAAGCAATATTATTATTATTATTTTAATCGGCAAACAGGAATTTTCTCTAACATGCCGATACATGTGTGCTATACAGTGCGTCGTTCGCCGGTGCGTGAGACAACATAACAGTCGGTTACAAAAAAAATACGTGATGCGTGAGATCGAAATAATGATTAAGAAAGGGTTATGTCACGAATCGTAAGTCACAAGGCGTTGTTGTCTGCTGAACGATTAAAGCAAATCAAAACAACTTGGCGCAGCTCAAAGTCACTCTCGCGTGGTGCGCACACTTGTTTCCGAGTCTCGAGCCGGTAAGCAATACGCATACCGCGAAGCACGCGTATCGGTACGTTAGTTATCATTCCCGTCAGATGATTAAAATGTTTCGCGAGTTCTTGAAATATTTAATCGGACTCCCAACGTCGCGTTAATTAATTAACGCGCGATTTAATTAGCATGAGTTAATTAACGCGCGATTTTCCGGTCGAGCCGATATCTACGCGAGTGTCAATGCTAATATCAGTGCCGTGTGTATTCGGAATGCTACGAAGAAGCAGCCAGCCGGGGAAATTAGGACGAAAGAAACAGGACATCGAGGAACGAACGGTGATGCATCATATACTTCCAGGTATGCCGAATTATTTTATTTTATATCAAATTTTCGATTTTAATTGACGTTTTGCGAATTCACCGAAAAAAAAAAAGAGATAAGAGGCGAAATTTAGGCGGTTATTTGTGACGACATAGAGAGAGAGAGAGAGAGAGAGAAAGAGAAGAGTCCGTAGTCAATTAATAAATTGAGAATTAACAGATTGAGAATTATAGCTTCATACATCTCTAATTACTTGTCAATCTGTATTTTTACTTATTTCATACGACAAAGAATGTTGATCCAAACAATCGATTAACAATTCGTATTTTGCATTTAATTATGTCCTCAATCAAATTTACGATGAATAAATATCGGCCTAAAAACCTAAATTTCGCAAATATTGCTTGAATCTAACAATGTTGTAGTTGTATAAAAATAATAAAATGATAAACGCTATCAAGTCGCGTACTAAATAATACAATATTAAACAACGTCAAATTTCGATAACGTCATTTAGAATACGCGAAATGCGTGAGGGTAGAATTCCAACAAGAAGCGTATAACGCAAATGTAAGTGGTATTAATTTTACATTATATTAATTTTACATGAGAATCAGAAGGACAGTTATATATCTGATGTTTTAAATGTAAACATTTGGGTAATTTAATATTCGTATTCACGTAATATCTCTGGTTAATGTTAATCTTTCATGATTCGAAAGTTATAGTGATTCGGGTGTCCCATATAAATTTCAAATATTTTACACGTTGTACAGTTTGTACAATCAGAAATTGGAAATCTCATCGCGATCATACTTGGCAGACATCGATTGTTTTGCCGCAGGCGATTGACACAGTTACATTGCTTTTGCGACGCCTCTTTAGCATATTTCACGTTATAATTTTGCAATCAGTCAGCCAGTAGCTGTGTCGCCTGTGACATCACAGAAGTGCGTCTGAGTCGAGATATAAAATGTATTGTGTCTCGTAAACATCTATATCTAATTGAGATTCTAATCATGTTTCTTGGAGCTTAATGTTTTTTAGTGTTTCGGCTTAATATTTCTCTAAGCCAAAGTTGATTTAATCAACTAAAAGTTTCTCAGAGAAATGACAATACTGCATTACCATTCTAATGTCAGCAATAAAAATTTCTATATCGCTCGATGATACTTGCGAAATTTCAGCCATCACGTAAATCATTCTGACTCATATTTATCATGCTGAGACGGAATTATTCGAATTTATAACTGACAAGTTTTCAAGCGCCGCCAGACGAATCATAATATCGCAATTATGCTACCTCGTATCCGACTTTTACTTCGATGTCGTCATTCGTCGCATTAAATAGTCGCGAATTAATTGCTAGTCCAGGCCGAAATAGGCGTTTCAGGTCAATAACGACTTCGATCCGCGAGTCATCGGCTTCACGGATTTCTTCTTTATTATACAGCGTCGCCTACGACACGCTCGGTTTATGGAAGCTTGCAAGTCAGGAACGACGTGCGGGCGCCGTGAAAGTGTCTACATGTGACTAGAGAACATCCTGGCGGCAGGGATTGTTCTTTACATCCCACGCACTCGAGATAATTCAAAGGTACAGCCGCACTATCTAGCACTTCTCTACGTCAGGCGGGGTTCGCGAAAATCGCGGAGTCATCCGTCAATTGACAAACAGCCAATGTTTCAAGACAAATCGTGCTGAAACCACTCGTCAAATTTCAAGTACAAGTCGATCCCATTATTTCTATGCGACAGGTAGAGACTCGTATTTATTTTACATATCTGGTTGGGGCGATATCTCGAATTAATCATCGCGACGTCGGTGCGACTTTAGCGACTTTATGGCCTCGTAGTGTCGCCTATGCCGAGCTCGTTTGCATGTTTAGCACCGGCTGAAACTTTAATTGTATAACCAACGTGTTAAGCCTTCCTACGTGCAGTTGATTTCACGCACGAGCCTCTATGCGAGTACTTGCGTAATCCCTCCGTAAAGTAAAATAATAAGCAAACGACGACTTCACTTTTGTTTGAACGTGTTTCAGTCGTTAAGTTGAGGCATTGAGACGCGAAAGGATTCTCGATTCTCTGGAAACCGTCAAACGCGCGCGTCTACCGTGGAAAACACGTTTGAACAAATTACGCCCGTCCGCCTGCATATTACATTACTTTGTTGGTTTAAATCGTTTCTTCGCGCGAAAATTATTAGAAACACGAAGAGTGCCGCATAAACTCCGATGCTTAGCGCAGCAAAGTAATTGATTTAATG